GACTGGTCCCCGCATCTTTTGGAAGGAGCATCAGCATAGATTTCCAGCACTTGCAAGCCTTGCCCGTGACATTCTCTCAATCCCTGCCACTGGTGCTGGTGTAGAGCGGCTCTTTAACTCTGCTCGAGATGTCTGCCACTATCAACGAGGCTCTCTCAGCCCTGGAACTATCCAAGACCTAATGCTTTTTATGTGTACATCCCGGTTTGATCTCAAGGAAGAACAGAGGGCAATGATCAATGAGTATCTCTCCTATGAAGAGGTACAGGCGGACAGAGAGGAAAAAGACACCAAAGCAAGTGAATTTGATCCAATTAGTGATAATGAGGAAGATGATGAGGGGGATTTGATCCAGATACAGCAAATTAGCCAAGTTCCAGGTGGAAAGAGCCAGGGGAAGCAGCAAAGGAGTATTGCATCTATGCCAGAGGGAGGCTGTGAAAATGAGGATGATGAGCCTACTCTTCCACTCCCACAACAGCGCATGTCAGGGAGAGTTCGGAAACACCCGAGACTTCTTGAGGGGTATGAGGTTCAATAAGAAATTAAGAATAGTACTGTAGCTAGCCTTGGTCTAAAAGAATGAAGTCTTGTCACCTGATCAATATCAATCACAGAAATCTTCTTTCTACTGTCAATATGTGATGATGTAACTGTAAATGAGATACACATAATTACAGCCAAGGCCTGCATAAATTATGCAGGACATGAGTCTCCACTGTTTGTCTTGTTTGATGACCCGCGGGTAACCCGCGGGTCACCCTCGGAGGGTCAAGACCTGACCTGGACCCTCACTGCGGGTAAGAGAGCCAGACCCTCAACCCTCAAAATGAGGGTATTAGGGTGACCCTCCGAGGGTTACCCGCGGGTGAGGGCGAGGTCTACATGGCAGCGTATGCTGGCGAAGTCTTGGCCCGATAGAATTTGTATTTTGAATGTATTTGTTGATTTGATGAGACTGATGAGACATGGACCAGGTTGGGGATTGATTGTTAATGCGCCGTCTAGCATTGCGTCATTGTCAGAGTACTCGGGCTTGTGTACAGATACCCTAGATGCTCTTCTCATGTCATAGACGGAGATAACCTTGACGGGCATGAGCCAAGTACACAGACCACCGATGCGCATGTACCCGAATACTTCCCAACAGATATCTGATCAACTTATATACGATCTTTTTTCCAGCTGGTTATGGCTGCGTCGAGGTTGGTTCAGTATTACTCGATAGTCTGACCTTCGATGGTTTCGGCGAGCTTTGGGGGGCCAAATATGTCTGAACTCTAGGTGACAACTGCAGACTTACTCCTCCCTCTAAGAGCCTTTCCGTATTTAAAGAACAGCCACGGAAATGGCATCATGGCGACTGTGATCAATGCGAGAAGACTGGTTGCCCACTTGTAGCCGAGCTTTTCGTACATATTGTTGCCGAACAGGGGAAATACAGCTGCACGGTGTTGTATAGTATTAGCGAAGCTTGGTAGTGGTGAATATGTCGAACGTACCTGCGATGGAGCATCTTGCGAAACTGTTCGAGGCTAGGGTTGATGCGGCATATTGAGGGTATGCGTCGACCTGTGTACAGTGAGCATAATCGATCTTTAGTACAGCAAAACAGATAAACGTACGAGAAACGTATAGATCCCAATGAATGCAAGCAGCATCCTAATTCGTCAACCCCGAACCCATAACTGTAATCAGAATCAATATCACTCACACCCAAACACTGCAGATCCAATCACTGGTACTATCAGTGAACACTCGAGTACGTCGTCCACCCAAACCAGAAAAACCCGATAGGGATCAATACACCACCCAGAATAGCCGGCGGAAGTCGATATTCCGGCTCACTACCCCCAAGTCCATGCCTGTTCAACAACCGTTCCCAAACCCGGGACCAGATAGGGTTACTTGCAGCTGCCATACACATACCCGTTATAATACCCAAGAATATAAGACCGGCTTACCACAGGCTCATGGCGTGTTTTCCCGGAAGATAAGTGGCAAATTGCCGAAGAATAGAAATAAGACACCCAATAAAACAGCGGAGTAGAGGTCCAAGCAGAGACACATAGGCTCTAGGAAGAGGAGTTGAAAAGGTCGCAGAAGCAATAGTATTATCGCGCGTCTTGACTTGGTAGCCTTGCTCATCGGTGCCCTATATCGGTTATCTCCTGTCTGCTTGCGAAGAATCTCAGCCTTAGTACGCAGCTTGACAGGATGGTATGTCTCCGGCGCAAAAAAGACAATAGCAAACCATATACCACCAGACCACATAACCATAGTATACCATGTCCACCTCCAACATAACCAATAATTAAAAAGCCCACTCACAATAGGCCCTAACGAAGGGCCCACGAACGGCGCTGACGACACAATCCCCATCGGCATCTGTATCTCATCTCTCGGAAACACATCTCTGGCCGTCACGCCGGCAACAGATAAAAAGGTAACCCCCAACAAACCCGGCAAGGAAACGGGTTACAATGAGAGTTTCGATATTCCGGGCGACGGCGGAGGGGGTTGTCCATATTATGAATGGCGACCAGGAGATGAGGTAGATCAGCCGTCGGCCGTAAGATTCGCTTAGAGGGCTTGTTAGGAGGGGACCGAAAGCGATTCGTAGAACGAACGTTGAGAGGCCGGGGGATTGGAGGAGGGATGAGGTGTTGAAAGCGGTTGTTAAATGGGGGTAGGTGGTTGTATAAATTGAGCTGGTACATGTCCTTTGTTCTTTAGTGACTTGTTTCCAGGGGAGATGCTTCAGAGATGGGTTGGTTTACACGCATAAGCTTCCCATGCAGACAATGATCACAATAATCCATTTTCGTACTAATGACATGCTCCGGGGACACATTGGGTCTTGATCACCATTGAACGAAACCTCGAATAGGTCATGGCATGCTCTTATTAGGGTCTCCGGGGGTTGGTTGTCAGTCTCTTTCTCGGTATACGGAGTTTTCTCCTCATCAACGGGTTGCTTCATGATGTCCGAGTTAAGTCGAATATAACGTGTTGGCTCGTTGTTATTGGAAAAACAGCACGCCAAATAAATAGTATAGTATACAGACACCCTTGGTTCCTATTGATTATAAAGCCGAATTTTATAAGTTATCGCCGACATAATCTTGAATATTGTGTTACATTAAGTACTTGGCGAAGAAGGCTAGGTGGTCTAAAAGGATACGAAGTAGAGCAAGTAAGTATCCATGAAATCGGTACTCGTACTGTATTAGAATAAAATTATATGGTTGTATGAGATATAATCTTTGTCGGGTCGTTGCCAATGTAACTAAAACAATCATGCATGCCCTATGTTGCGGTTATTGCAATTAGCGACTAGCCATCAACCTCAGTTCTACTCGAGAAAGCGCGTCTTGGATCTCTAGTAATATCTGTGACTTAGCTCACATTAGCTCGCCTAGGTTAAGTGACCTGCCCCACATCGCATCAATAAACGATGCGCTTTTTGTCGTCACAAGTGGATGGGCATCCTATCTTGACCGAACCAAATAGCCATAACCATATCTTAGTTATCTAACTATTTATGTATTCCACCTCCTCCGTGCTTCTAAATATTCATTGTTATTTCTTATCCAGGCTTACTGTTGGGATACTCAGCAACATGGGTTCAATCGGCCAAGAGCCGGTTGAAACGACAATAGCTAGTCACCACCTATCCAAACGTGGCGCCAAGAGTTTCCTACATCGAGATGTATGGGGTCCATGATAAAAGTCAATGGAGAATCCATGGTCACCAGATAATCCCGGCGGGACGTTAGTTCGATCCGCATACATTAAAGCAGGCAATCGAGACCAACAAGGCGGTATCATTCTCCGCCTTGCTGAAAACAGCCTTAAGCATAAGGATATTGCGAATTTCATTAACGCGCAGGTTAGTAGCCCTATCCCATATCATGCTCGTCTAACTTGTAGGCACAAGCATAGACAAAACTCTACCACCTTACCTACAGCATCAGTCCCCATGGCTCAGTCTGCAAGACGCAGCGGCGTTATTCTTAACTGAAGGGCCCCAGTATCGTGAGACAATCATGGCAGACAATGTCTTCATCACACCCGGCACAGCCAGCACCCTCGATGCATTGGCATGGGCGGTTTGCAATGACGGAAAGGGTATTCTCATCCCACAACCACTTTACAATGGGTTTAATATTAATCCATTAGATTAGGGTAGTGCAAGGATTGCGGGAGCTAAGTATGAGGGGATAGAAGGGTACGAGGGTCTTGATGATTTGTTTTGTCCGGAGGTGAATACGAGGGCGATTGAGGCTGCGTTGAGGAAGGCACAGGATTGGGGGTTACCGTTTGGACGCTTTTGGTTTCAAATTGGTCCTGTCACCTTTGTTGATGATGGATTTACTGACGGGTATAACAGGGTGTATAATCCCATCGTTTTGATTAAAAGTGTGTCGCCTACCTTTGATGGCCAACGACTGAATCAACCGGCCCCAACTATAGAGTAAAAGTACGAAGAAACCCGTATTTCCTTTCTCCAGAATACTTATACTGGATTAGGCGACGGCAGAAGTCACCGAAAGCTTTGGTCATCCGTGTGGGCCTGGCAGTACTCTGTTGGGGCCCGAAGGATCGAAGCCCAGGTTAGTCGACCATCCTCTTTTTTGGCTACCGGTATTCCAATAAAGACTACATATACCGATTTGAGCTAGCAGCGTGGGAACGTCATGCTTCTGACCGCTGAATCAGTCAGAAGCATGCCAGTATCAAATCTTATCCCTCAGCTGAATTCCCATGAATTATCCTAGAATATAGCATTTGCCGATTTCTTTGCTGGGAGCGGCTCCATTCCTGATGGCTATAATATTTTTCTGGAATATCTGAACTTTGAAATGTGCCAACTGCTGGCACATATAGTGCTACAGACGAGCACAATGGAAACTGAAAAGCGCCTACTTATTGTTATGTGCGCGTTACTATATATATTGGTTCCTGAGCATGAGCGTCCACTAATCATAGTGGTCTTTCTGGTCCCACGGAAGAGCTTCTGAGCTCTGCATTCTGCTGGCTAACAGTCATACAAGTAGTCCCCTGACGTCGGTGCTATTGGATAGGTAGCATCATAGCGCATAAGATGTATTTCATAAACAGACACTCTGGCATGTATACGACCAGCCAGATCTCCGATGGAATTGAAGAATGTGAGAACTCCCCGGCAACAGTTGGTAGGTATCTAATCCATGTTTGTTTGTATCGACTCTAGAATGTTGAAGTCAATTCCAACTGACAATAATATTGATCATTCATTCATTCCTGTACTCTGCAGAAGCCAAACAATCGAGCACAGGTATGAGACAATTGGGAAGCTTGTTGCATTGTCCCTGCATCATTTTTGAGACACTGCCATAGTATGCTTTGACCTAGACTAAATACTGCCATGATATAATGATGTCTCGATATCTCCTTAACGCTGCAATTAAATTACTGTGCCACATTGTAGTTCTTATCGTTGCCTCAGGTGTCAATACTGTGGCTCACCCCTGAACCACCCTGCCTGCTCTGTATGCCACTCCCTCGAGCAATACTACTTATTATGGAGTATCAGTACGAGGATCGCAATCGCCAGTCATCGGAGAAATCATAGAACAGGCCACTTTATGCTCGTATACGGAAGATATTTATGGAATAGTGACTCCTTTTCAGGGGAAGCGTATATTAAACTAGTCCCAATCAGAAGAACTAATGCATTCTAAAATAGCCAATGAGTGACAGTAGCCAATAATATCCGTGAATCAGGTACGATATACCTATAATTGGCTGCATATCAGCGTGGGGAAATTGAAGGCACTATATGGTTGGCCAGTTCCAACCCCACTCAGACAACGACGGCCAAACACAGACATCCTCGGGTCTGGCCAGCCCAGCCGGACTGCAGGAGGAATTCTTCTCCTCCCTTCCCTCTTCTCCTCTTTTTCCTCCCTCACTACTGACTCTCTTTCATACTCATACCAACCCCTCGCTCTGGTATCCTTCCCTTCGCCCATCGCGCCCTCTCATTCCATAGCAGGTGTCAGCTTCACTCTTTCAGCTGTGCACCTTGCTGTCCGTTCTTTCTTTATCCCGTCTTGTTCCACCGGGTGTGCTTTGCTTACCCGACGACCGACTCCGACTCGACTCGACTCGACCCGACCGGCTTCGACACGACGAAAAAAGAAAACAGCCTTATCCGACCTTCTACTCTCTTTCCTTGCTTGATTTATTCCCGGCCTTGATTTGTTCCTGAAACCGTAGGAACAGTTGAGACATCGCGTAAGTTTGCCTATATGTCCGAACCAAGGGCCATGGTTGACAAACTCAACCATACAGTACGATTTTGTTTCTTGAATCTTGAATCCCGAGGATCGTATTTTCTTGTCACTCTTTGAACATCCGTACCAACTACCGACAACCACGACGATAACATGTTCAAGCTTGTCGTTCGCGACAACCCCGAAGATGGATTGTCTCCCGCTATGGTTGATTTGTTGATCGCTCTTTTGGCCTTGGTTCTTCTCGCTCTCATCCTGGTTGCCGGTCTTTTGATCCTGCGTCGCAAGCGCCAGAACCGCAAACTGTCCGACCTTCCCGTGCACAACGGAGAATGCACGTCTTCCGCCCATCACCGTCGTCTCACGATTTCGGCTTCCCCCGGCGCAAAGACAGAGTCCGTTTTGGTTTACGATGAGAAGCGCGGTCTGATGGAGAATTCGTCCAGCCCGCCGGACAGTCCAGTCCCCGAGATCCGCATCACATTCCCCGAAGAGGAGGATGAAGCTGGGAAGCGCAAGTCCGGACGCATGGTGGTGGTGAGAATCAGCGACACCGGTGGTGTGGGTTTGGAGCCATGCCATGAGGAACTGCCGCCGTACCAGTCTAGTGATGCCGACCGTTTCCATTCTCTGGACATTGAGCGCATGGGTGGACTGAAGGAGAAGGACGACCTGAACAGATGGTCTTAGCAAACTATTCTTCCGATCGAAAGCCCGTCAGCGATCCGCCTTTTTCCTTTCTTTCATCGACTGATACCCCACCGATCGAGCCACACGGTACTTCATCTTCGACGATTCCAAAAGCATGACGATATACCGCCATATACCTTCAACCTTTTCACCTAGTGTATTTTGCTTGTTCTTTTTAACATTTTTTTTTTTTTCGTGACTTGCACATACGCAGATCAACCCTACTTCAGCCACCAGTCTGGTCAAGCTAAAGTCTTGCCAGCATCTCGATCGCTTGATCCCACAATTTAACGACTAAAGACAACTGGAGCTGAATTGTGTACAGCAAGGGCTGCTGGTTTTTGCCTAATTTCTCCGGCGTTTTTTTCTTGTGCTTGGTCACCTGTGGTCTTCCACCCTGACACGTTCCTAGGGTTGGAAAGACATTACGCAAGCGGCTCTTTTCATTCTTTCCTCGATTAGTTACTTGGAGCTGATTTGATATCGTTATTTATGATTCTCCTTCCCTTACAATTCTCAGGTTGTCTTTAGGGTGACTGGCAGCTGGATAATGTATGTACTTAGTCTTGCTCCTTGGCCCGCCGGGAGTTTTACAATGGATTGCTGTCGGATAGAATGAATATCCCCCACTGTATAGAAATTGAGATCACCGTATAGTCCGATATAGTCAAGTAAACATATCTCCCCATAGGGAAGCTGCTTGTCGGCCAATCAGCGGACGGCCAATGCTGCCGAGAGGGCCGACTTCCCCGACGTCACGGGGTCACAAAGTGGCCGTTAGACCAACTCTTCTGCTCCTGATCTCTCGTCTTTTTCCCTTGTCTCTTTCTTTAATCCCTCATTCTCTCCTTGGTCCTTTCCCCTGTTCTTCTTCAGTTCCTCTTCTCCGGCCTCCTTGCAGATGTCTGCTTCGTTATTCTCGTGGAATTGAGCTGTCGCTGTGCCCAAGCGTATGCTCTGAATTCCGATCCATCAGGGAGGCCGTCCGGAAATAAGAACTGCTCTCTTTTTTCTTCTCTCTTTCGTTTGTATATTTTCAATGATTTACTTATACAATTTTCACTAATCCCAATCCCTCGACCTTTCAGCGATATCGTCGCCTCTGAATTTTTTTGCCGTGATATCCGCGCCGTCCCGTGTTCTCTGTGTGGACCAGCTTCCCGATTTAATTCCGACAGCGCCCTCCCATATACACTGGCAATGGCTTCGCCAACGCTCGAGGGGCTGGCAAACAGCAGCACCAACGTTGATGACCCCAAACTTTCGGCCTCGTCCTCTTCCCGACCCTCGTCTTCGTCGCGCTCTTCGGACCTTGGGGAGCGGCGGCCGCAGCCAAAACTGCAGGTTCCTGCTGGATTACAGGCGCGAATGGGCAAGAAGACGAATAGCGTGCAGGAATTGAGGACGCAGGTTATGGAGGGGGAGTTTAAGATTAAACATCTTGGGTTGTTGGGGGTGTTGGTGTGGATACTGTGAGTGCCATGTGTTATCTTGGCCGCTTTGCGCGCATGGAGAAAAGGTCTGACTGTTCATGTGTGAAGATTGCTGCACGTTGCTGGTATCTTCTTCTTTACAAAGGGATTCCTCTTGACTCGAATGGTTCTGGACAACAAATCGTCTTGCAAAATACTTCCGTTTGACGACTCGTCGCATGCGCCGGCGTGGACTGCTGGGAGGAGTGATAAGGGTTGCTGGCATCAGAAGTCGTTCGACAAGGCTATTGTGATTATCATCGATGCGTTGCGCTATGATTTCACGGTCCCGTTTGCGCCAAGTGTGGAAAGTGAACAAGCTCATCTGTTCCACAATAATATCCCCGTTCTCTATGAGACCGCCGTCAACGAACCGGAGAAAGCGTTCCTGCTTCCATTTATCGCGGACCCACCGACCACGACGCTTCAGCGACTAAAGGGTCTGACCACCGGAACTCTGCCGACCTTTGTCGACGCAGGGTCCAACTTTGCGGGAACGGCAATTGATGAGGATAACCTGGTTGCTCAGCTGCGCGCGGCAGGAAAGAACTTGGTCCATCTTGGCGATGACACTTGGCATTCTCTGTTTCCCGACTACTTCGATACCAACCTGACACGACCGTTTGATTCGTTCAATGTGTGGGATCTGTATACTGTTGACAATGGGGTTACCGCCAATCTATTCCCGCTCCTGCATCCTGACAACGCTACCAAATGGGATGTCGTTTTCGGTCACTATCTTGGTGTTGACCATGCTGGCCACCGGTATGGACCTGACCACTCAACAATGGGCGAGAAACTTCGGGAAATGGACCAAGTCATTCGGAACCTCATCGAGATGGTCGACGATGATACACTACTAGTCATTATGGGCGATCACGGAATGGACTCAAAGGGCGACCATGGCGGTGAATCAGATGATGAAGTCGAGGCAGCTTTGTGGATGTACTCGAAGAAGGGTATGTTCGGCCGCACCAGCACTGAGACTGCTCGTCCGCCGAAGTCTCCTCGGGAGCGGTTCGTTCCTCAGATCGATCTCGTGCCGACCTTGTCTCTTCTTCTCGGCATGCCGATTCCATTCAACAACCTTGGGTCTCCGATTGAGGAAGCTTTTGCGGGGACGTACGGCAACGATGTGAAGAACTTGGCTGCGGTTAACCGCTTGACGTCTGCGCAGATCAAGAGATACCAGCATGAATATGCAGCAGCTCGAGGCGAAGACCATAGCTTGTCTCTCGGGTCTCTGGAGTATTGGAGCGAAGCGGAGCAGACGTTTGCAAAGGGCAAGTCGGATGCGATACTCCGTTCGGCGTATGATTCGTACAGGCAGTACCAGCGGGGTACCCTCGAGATTTGCCGTGGATTGTGGGCAAACTTTGACGTGCCAAGTATGATCCAGGGAGTTCTGATCTTATTCTCCGGTTTAGCTTTGTTGGTGTTTTATGCCAGAGGTCTCAAGGTGAATAGGACGGAACTTACCGGTTCGCTTCTTACGCTCGCTGGTGCGGGTTCCGGCTTGGGTGGTGCAGTTGGAAGTGTCATTGGTGTTCTTGGGTTCGTCGACATGCCAATCATCGAGTCATCCGTTCTGTTTGCCGCTTTTGGTAGTATAATTGGTGCTGCATGGTCGATCTTTGGATCTCAGCTGTCGCCTCCTCTGCCAAACTCCTTGTGGGGATGGCTGTCTCTCATCTTTACCGTGTCCCAGTCGATTGGGTTTGCATCGAACTCGTATACAATCTGGGAGGATGAAATCTTGCTGTTCTTCCTGTCCACTTTTGGTGTCGTTGCAGGTGTGTCCTCGATGCGGCAAAAAGCGACTCAGGATAGGGTTCTCGGGCTTTACCACTCGGTTCTGTTTGTGCTTCTTGGGAGGCTGGCGTCGTTCTCGCGTCTCTGCCGTGAGGAACAGATGCCGTTCTGCCGGTCTACTTACTATGCGTCGGCTACGTCCTCAACATCTGCACCGTGGCAGCTGGCAATTCCGTTCCTCGTGACGTTGATAATCCCCGCCGTCATTAAAGCATACTACACAGGCTCCAAGTCCTACGAAGGAACGTCGTCGTTGTGGATTGGCGTCACCTTCCGCCTCGGACTCCTAATTACATCTCTGTTCTGGATTCTCGAAGGTGCTGACGACGGCGGCTGGTTCAACGTAAGCAAAGAAGCCCTCAAATCCAGCCGCATGTTCCTCGCCCAATTCGTCTTCGCCATCGCCTTCGGAGCCGGCACAACAGCCTACATGTATGCGAAACCCTGCATCAGCATCAACGTCAGCAAAGGCAGCCCCGATCCTGAAAAGCCCGCCTCACCCTCCGGCCAACAACCCGGCCGCACAACAGTCACAATCCTCGGCTTCGGCAACGTCTACGGCACCCGCTTCTTCTTCCTAGTCGTCAACTTTGGCCTAGCCGTCATCCTCATGCAAAAACCAATGGGCCAAGGCGCCATCGGGCTGCTCCTCTGGCAAATTTTGTCTTTGCTTGAAATCCTTGACACAAACGCCCTTGCCACGACTAACGTCTCCATCGGTCCAGTTGTTCTAGGCCTACTAGGCTCCTACTACTACTTCAAGACCGGCCACCAAGCCGTCCTCTCCACAATCCAATGGGAAACAGCCTTCATCCCCCTCTCAACAGTCAAATACCCCTGGTCCCCCCTCCTCGTCATCCTAAACACCTTCGGCCCCCAGATCCTCTCCGCAATCGCAGTCCCCCTAACAGTTCTCTGGAAACGACCCCTGCAGGTACAGGAACCCGGTAAAACAGATAACCCGTCTCTCCGCCTCCTCTCAGATGTCGTACAAGCTGTTACTACGCACATCTTGTATCTGGGGACCATTAATTTGGCGACGACGATGTGGGCGGGGCATTTGAGACGGCATCTCATGTTGTATCGAATTTTTAGCCCTCGGTTTATGATGGGGGCGGCGGTTTTGGGGGTTGTGGATGTTGTTGTCGCCTTTGTGGGGGTGCTCGGGGTTAGGTGGTGTGGGTTGAGTGTGGGGGAGGTTTTTGGGTGGTAGGCTTTCACCTGTCTATCTGAAATTATCCAGCGCTGTCCGGAAGAAGAAAGCCCTGGATAATGGAGTTTTTAGGCAATATGGAAGATGGCCTGCGGACTCGCTCCCGCAGATGCGGTTGAGCAAGCGTACGCGGGATTAACGCATTGATTGAAAGAGCATTCAGAACATTTCTCGATCTATCTCGAATTGAGCTGATGCGACGCGATGTTTTTTGTATTACTTTATTTGTTCCACTATCTATACCTTGACCTAAATGTAATTACAAAGAGGAGAAAAGAAACCAAAAACCAGAAATGGAAATGGAAAAAGGTGAAAACATTCAAATCTATCATCCATCCATTAGAGACTTAAAAGCCTTAAAGCCTTTTGAAACCAGTCAGAAGTTGGTGCTTGGGATTTCAGGGCCAGACTACTAGATTCTAGCTCTTGAATATCGGATTCTGTCCGGCTCGCTGTATCTTCATCTTTTATAGTCCTCTCTCTTCTTCGGAAGCACTAGATATCACTGCGTTGAAGCGGTTGTAGCGCGGTTCTTGCCACCTGTGATTCCTTTTCTACATGCAAGCTACCCTTGTGCACCACCGATCCCATCTCTTCAGACCCACCCATCATCTTATCTCCAACTAAGTTCATGATTTTGCCTGCATGAGTTCTCATGGATTTATACTCAATTCAACCCAAGAGGGCGAAACGCTGCGAGAACATATGTGACAGACAGGACAGGTATGATGTATATGACAGCGATTAGCTGGTCAGATTCTAAGTTGTCACGGCAACTGACTGCAACTCATTTCTGTATATGCACTTATGCCCACAAAAGTAATGATGTCTGATAGGCGGGTCTGGTTAGATATGCCCTGTTTAGAAAAGGGACAACGATTGAACAGATCCTTCACGCAGTGAGATGACTCAAACTCACAATCATGGCCAAGGTTTTAGCTTTCGATATAATCTCAAAGCAGAGAGGAAATGTAGGTGGAGACGCCAGTTAGTCCAAGTTGGGTGGTGTCTGCTAATTCCCGGAAGACTGCCATGAAAACCAAACCTCGACGCCAACCGGACAATCTGGAAAACAATCCACTGGAAGGACCAGGAATCCTGGTTCCTGTCTATTCAGGGTGTTAATGCCCGTGTTGTGACGACAAAGTTCACGGCCAAGTACCTTGCCGCCATCAATGGCCATGTGGATCCCCTATTAAAGCAGTCGCAAGAAACTCAGAAGCATTTGCAGGAGAATGCTAAACATTAGCAAAGAGATTAGTAGTCAGGTGGGAAATAGAAAGGGAATGCCCTTGTATTTCAGACAATATCATATAGATACATTAGAATAGATAGAATGAAAATAATGCAAAGCAAAACTTTTTGGAACCCAGGGGTATTTGACATGTTGGTACACACAGAGAGGTGCAGATAAGGTAAGATCAAGCAAGAAATAAGATAATAGAAAGATAGTGATGTACATTATTGGGTTCAAGTTCAATCATCAAGTCAGTCGGGTCAGTCAGTCATCATAAAAGAACTTTTGGTCGCTGCGTTAGTTTAAACGAAAGACACGCTATACACGGAAAAGCCAAGAAAATAAAGGGAGAATAGACGAATATCATCGACTCCATCTGGAGAAGTCCAGGTTCTGGAGAGTGCCACCCTCCGCAGCTGCATTCCACTCACTTCCGAAGTCCGTCTTGATAGAATTGCTTCGTGCCGGTAACTCCTCAGATTGGATCGTGGCTTTCGTGTTTCGTCTACTAGCAGACGCTGCCGGGTAGGTTCCGTCCGCATCTGCGGATTGGGATTGCATCCCCAGTGCTCTTTCGCGAAGCCTCTTTATCTCGCGCAACCGATTTCGCCACGATGAAATATGTTCACCGCCCTGGTTGCTCCAGACGAGAGAGAAGACGGAGGCATTAAGGGCGAGAATGCGGACGAAGGCGGCGAGGTTCTTGCCTGAAACGACCTTTGGTGTTCCGGCGCAGGAAATCTCAGGGATGCCGGGTTTGCTAATTACCCTGACTTGGTAGCAGATGCGTTCAAGATCTGACTCTTCTTGGGGAGATGCTTGGTCACTTGTAACGCGGGAAACGGGGCTGATGACGATGTTAATGAAGTTGAATTGGGAGGGAATCGTATCGAAGTTGAAGGAGTCGTCGGAACGGTTGAAGACAATGTTGACGTAGTCGTTTCCAATGTGTCGCTTTTTGTTGATGCAGTTGGGATCACCGTCGAAGTCGGTTGGCATCATTGTCGCGACGTGGTAGACGATTTCCGTCACCCGATCGCGCCAGGCATATGTGGACTCGCCGTCTATGTCCGGGTAGAGGCCTTGGGTATTGAATTGTGCGCCTTGGAGGAGGACTTTGGTTCCGAGGCCCGTTAAGAAGTATTCGTAATCTGCGCTTCCGCCTATATTGGAGAGGATTTCCGCTTCTGTACTTTGCCCTTGGTCGATGTATACCACGCCAATTTTGTGGCTATCAACGATGTCGTTTCGGTCGAATATGCTGAGTGCACGACGCATAATATCATCTTCTGGGAGGGGAATCGGCTGCAACACGGTAGGCGTGGGGAAAGCTGTCGTCGTGAACTGGAGTAAAACATGACTAGGGAGAATGGCTGTCCGCATGTCATCTGGTTGTAGATGAGCATCATGTGTCGGGGTAACCTGGTGCGGAAGAACGGGTGCTGTTCGCTGCTGATACATGGCATAGGTCGTGCCCGAGGCTTGCCGCTTCGTAATTTGTGACAATCCAGACACCACGGCCGTTTCAACAGTAATAATACTCATTCCGACGACCCAAGACTTCTTGATCACGGATCCGTGCTCTGGAGACGGAGGGAATTGTGCGTAGGGAATGGTATCACCCAAATCTGAAAAGGAAGATCTCTGCATTAAATCAATGAACACTTGGCTTGCCTCCTCAACTGTCTCCTTCTCAGTTTCATCCTTGAAAATAAGTCTGCTAGTTATCCAGTTGACGTGCTTAGCGCGATCCATCAGTTTCAAAGACAGAAACCAGAAGACCATGCAATGGTGAGTGAGGGTGTAGATGTATGTTGACATCCCGTCCTGCAAGTTTGGCTCTGCTTCTCCAACCTTCCCAGAAGCCTGGGTTCTCGCTGTAGGCGACTCTGAGACCCTCAATCGCTGCTCCCTGGATGTTTGCAAGAATCGAATACATATGCCAAAAACAGTGCGGATCTCCTCTTCTCGCAGATTGATGTAGACTTCAGGTAGCCTTGCAAGCAGCGACAGAAACTCCAGGATATGGACGGCAAGATTCGACATGGTGATCACCTTGGACATCTTATCCAGAATACCATTGAGGGACTTTGTCACTGACAGCGGAATCTCGAAGCAACAAATCGAAAGTGCGTGGATGCATCCGCGCGAAGTGCCTCCCCAGGAGCCGATGATACCCAGCATAAACGAACGAACAAGTTCATCTTGCTCACTCTTGGCAAAGTGCTCATGGTAACTGACAAGCACGGTGAGGCATTCAAATATACACGCAGCAACGTCGGTCTTTTTGACTCCAGTAGACCCAGGAGGTTCGTGAAATGTCTCATTCTTGACTTGATCGCACATCACACTGCGGAGTAGTTTGATTTGAGGAACGGCATTCTTGAAAAAGTCCTTGTTGCTGAGTTGGTATCCCAAGTGAGCGAGGACATAGCTGTAGACATTCCAATCCGTCTCACGCTGGAGAAGAGAAATGACAGTTTCTAGCCACATATTGGCCTTGATAGATATTTTCTGCGCCATGTATGCTCCCGCTTGTGCCGACGCCTCTTGGGCATACGCATAAACAAAGGGACTTGAAGCTTGTGGTGGTTCTTCAGGGAGCACTTGAGGTGAAGCGTACGTCCAAACAGGAGGTGTCAGCTTCGATGCTCTGACATGGGTGCTTATACCACGTCCTGCCGACTTGGAGGGCACATTCAGAGTAGGTTCCTTAACTGAATGCTTGCGAGGAAGAACCGGGTCGTCTACACTAGTGGTCCCCGGAGACTGTGCCAAAGGTTGCTGCAACATGGGGCCTGACTCGGCTGTCCGGCCCAATACGTTTACTAAGAAGTCATTCTCTGACACTGATATAACCGTAATGGATCCGGCTGAATCACAGCGAAGTCTGAACAGCAACTTCAGGACGGTGAGGCGAGCATCAGACGGTCGCTCTGGCATTTGTGCAATCTCTAAAAGAGCCTCAAAAACTGACACCGCTTTTTGTGCTGATAGATTCAGGGAGCGAAGGAACATCTTGACAAGACCAACAGAGCAGACGTTTCCCAATGAAGGTTCCATCGCATTGGTGGCTGAGGGATGCTGCGGGGAGCTCGGACTGGATAGTTCACTCTCGTGAGATTCATCCTTGGCAATATCATTCTTCATGGGCGAGCTGATGGTGTCTACCACCTTTTTGAATGTGTCATCATCGGTAGCAGAAGTGAAGATGTCAACAATGAAAGAAACCAGTGATTCCAGTAGCAGAACATCAGTTTCGCCGGAGAAGTCCTCAAGCATAAGATCGAGAAGCCTCTGTGCTTGGAAGAATTGGAGAGACTCGTAGCTCTCAAAGGCCTCTTTCAACGTATCCAGAGCTAATATGCGAACGTCGGAGGGTTTATTGGGCGATCGAATAAAGGAATTAATCAGTTTCTGACAGTGCTTGACGCAGCCATCGTTCTCCGGGAAGCAAAGTCGTTCCGTCCTAATCGCATCGAGAATCAAGTCCGCCTGGGACGGCTCAATGTGCTCGGAGACAATCATCAGGAATCGGCCAGCATCCGTCTTCTGTTGCTGGTCCAAGCGTTCCCAAAGGGTTTCGATCAACGACGCGATTTGAATGATGTTCGCCTGGATAGTGGACCTCGTGTCATCGGGAGTGGCGCCTTTCTCAGCAGTCTCTTCCGGTTCCTCGACAGCCCTACGCGAGCACAATTCAAGGATATTGACAAAGCTTGACCAGCTATGTTCCAAAGCCACCTCAGCATAATCCCCGTCTAAGATGTTGAGAGACAATTCCAGCATATCGCCTTCGAGGCGACCATCGTCTTTGTTAATCACAACATGCAGTGCATCTACCAACGGCTCGAATTCAAGCTGCGGTATTCCATCCTGACCATGAGCACGGATAAGGTCGGCCAATACGTATATCGTCCCACGAAGGACATTGAGGTTTCGGCTCTCCTCTTCAGACGATCCCAATAAGAATGAATAGAGAATATTGATCATTTCCATTTGCCGTCGCGACTTTGCCAAGTTACGGACTGCCCTTGACGTGGGACCTGATAGCGACTTGACAGAGGCATGGATACTGCAGAGGACTTCGAGCATAGGGACGAAACTTCCGTCCGGGACATCGGAGTAAAGGATGATGGAATCGAAAACAGCAAGGGAATTTTTGATATCAGCAGCGACACTGGTTTTCTTGCAAATCGTAAAGATCTGCGAAAGAAAATCTTCAACTTCATCAGTGCTCGGAGATTTCCGCTGGAGTGTGATCAAATCCACGGCAAATTGTAGCAGATCATCCAGGTCTGCATCGTCATAACCAAGTCCGTTCACTTTAGCCACCTTTGCCTTCCTTGCTTTTAATCGTGCGGATGAGATCAACTCGTAGAGCGGTACTATGCAAGAGGAAATCAGCGGGAGGATCGAGGAAGTGCTGAAATCCAGTTTCCGGGCATGATCTGATAATGATATCAACGCGCGAACACGGGAAGGTATGACATCGGGTTCAGAGGGGACAGATATAGACTCGAAGATGGAGCGCCTCGCTGCCGGAGACAAGTCCTGACGCGATGCAATGGCTTCGACCAACCGAGAACCACTCTTTCTAGCTTCTGAAGAACTTTCATGGTGAAGAAGATAGGATCCAGCCTCCCAAAATGTAACCGCCTGTTCCGATGTAAACCTCTGAAGCGCCCTCGCAACCAAATCCGCCTCGTCGATCGCATGCCCCAGGTTCTGACACTGGCTTACAGCCCTGAGCGACGTTTCAAAATCGGGACCACTCGGAGTGTCCGAGGAACTAGAGACAACACTCCCGCGATGCATTGAGTCGAATCCAAAAACAGAACGGGTGAGTTTACGGCCATCCGCTGCTGGCGATAACGAGTCGCTGTGGCTCTCGGGGGAAATGGGCGACAGCGATTTGGGACGAACGACGCCTAGTGTTTTAAAAACGTCTGTGAGACTCGCTGTGGGTGATTTGAAAGGAGATGGCGATCGAGCATCCTCAGAAGACATGCGTCCTACTGGACGTGGAGTATATACAGGTGGGTTTATGGCGACGGGTCGAGTATCTGGGGCGCGGAGTAATAGTTAGCAGGGTCGGAATTGCGATAGGAATGCATAGATAATAAAACTAGCAGTGCAGTATAGTAGTACAAAAGTTAAGGGATGCTGGGTATGAGTACCATTGGTAATGTTATATGGCGCTATTCACAGCATCCACAGTGCTGGAGATCATTCGAGAATGACAGGCGGGACAAACTGGAACAATCGGATGTCTCAAGGACACCCCGCAATTGACAATATCAAGGAAACCCGCGAAAATGGGCGTCAATTAAGATCGTAAGAAGGCTCTTTAACACTGTGAAGGAGTCTTTCTCTGGCATCCAATATTCTCGACGTCGCGACTTTTCTTGACCAGCATCATGATGACTTGGCGGAGAATCGGAGGAAATGTTCTTCCTGAATGTAGATCACCTGACGGCAAAATCACCCCGCCGCATACAAAGTATACTCACCGCCTGGAGTCAAAGCAACCCGCCAAACAAACTGCCAGACCGGGAAGAAAGTGAGCTCACTTTTTTGCAGGGTCATTGCTTTGCTCAGAACTTTTCCAACTGGAAGATTTTGACTGTCTTGCTGGAAGCTGGACATATCTAATAATATTTTGATTATTTAATCTTTCTTTTCGCACTTTTTCCCTCTTTTATTTCCTTCCAATCTATACCTTGTTTAAACAATGGCGGACGGTCTCGGGGCTGTTGCCCAGCTTTTGGAGGCAAGCTTGGACCCCAGGTCAAACAAGCAAGGTGGGCATTATATGCGAATCGTCTTGAGGATTTTGTCTAACTAGTTCAGCCGAACTTGCTCTTCGTCAGGAGGAGAAGAAGCCCGGCTTCTCGTTGTCGCTCCTTCACATCACGGCTTCCGCTTCCTTTCCCTACAACACCCGCCTTGCGAGCGCCCTGTGCTTCAAGAACTTTATCAAGCGAAACTGGACGGATGAAGATGGCAACTACAAACTTCAACTGGATGAGGTCACTACCATCAAGCAGGAACTGATCAGTTTGATGGTTTCAGTCCCTGCTGGTATTCAGACCCAGTTGGGAGAGGCCGTCAGTGTGATTGCCGACAGTGATTTCTGGGAGAGATGGGACAACTTGGTGGATGTAAGCCATTGCACCTAGGAAGACATGTTGGACAACTGTTGACGGCTATTTCTTTGCAGGACCTTGTTTCCAGACTTCAGCCGAACAACCCTTCCGCCAACATTGGTGTGCTCCAGGTTGCGCACTCGATTTTCAAGAGATGGAGACCCCTGTTCCAGTCGAACGAGCTGTATACTGAAATCAACCATGTCCTAGAGCGCTTTGGGACTCCGTTCCTATCTCTTTTTGAGGTATTTTTCCTAGTCTGACTTACTAGAGCATTTGTGCTGACAGAATCCAGGGCCTGGACACTTATTTAGAGGAAAACAAATCCAATAGAGAGAACATTGTCGTAGGGTTCACGCAATTCAACTTGATGATCAAGTTGCTGTACGACTTGTCCTGCCACGACCTTCCTCCAATGTTCGAAGAAAATATTTCAGGGATAGCTTCTCTCCTGCTCAAATACCTCACATACGACAATCAGCTGCTTCATACCGACGATGACACAGAGGCGGGCCAGTTGGAATTTGCTCGAGCTGGAATCTTTGAGGTGCTGACCCTCTACGTGCAAAAGTATATGGATGTGTTCCAACCCCAGGTCGGCCAGTTCGTCGGGAGCTCCTGGAGCTTCTTGACCACTATTGGCCAGGAGACCAAATACGATATCTTGGTCAGCAAAGCCCTGCAGTTCTTGACCTCGGTTGCAGGTATGCCGGAGCATGCGTCTGTTTTCCAAGCAGAGGGCACTCTCAGCCAGATCATCGAGAAGGTCATTCTTCCGAACGTCAGCCTGCGGGAATCGGACGAGGAACTTTTTGAAGACGAGCCAATTGAATTCATTCGGAGAGATCTCGAAGGATCAGACAGCGAGACCAGACGACGGGCTGCTACTGATTTCTTGAGACGGTTGGCCGAGAAGTTTGAGGAATCGGTCACAAAGGTTGTTCTTCAGTACACTGAGCACTACCTGGCAGAGTATGCAAAGGATGCTTCGAATTGGAACGCCAAGGATACGGCTACCTATCTCTACTCGGCGATTGCCGCCAAGGGAACCGCTACAGCTAGTCACGGTGTTACTTCCACCAACCCTCTCGTCAGCATCACCGATTTCTTCCAAACGCATCTTGCCGCGGACCTTGTTTCTCAAGATGGAGCACACCCCATCCTCAAGGTCGATGCTATCAAGTACCTCTACCTTTTCCGCAGTATCATCACCAAGGAGCAATGGCAAGAAGTGTTGCCTCTGCTGGTGAACCACCTTGCTTCCTCGAACTATGTGGTGTACACGTATGCGGCAATCGCAGTTGAACGGGCACTCTATCTTACTGATGCCCAGGGCCAGCCCATTATTGCGCCCGCCGGGATCACGCCGTTGGCCAAAGACCTCCTGGAGCACATCTTCCAGCTGATCCAGAAGGACCCTGCCCCTCAAAAAGTGCAGGAGAATGAATTCCTTATGAAATGTGTCATGAGAGTCCTTATAGTCATCAAGGATGGCGTTGTTTCGTTCACTGACAATGTCCTTCAGCACCTGATTAACATCACCCAGATCATCAGTTCCAACCCCAGCAACCCGAGATTCTACTACTTCCACTTTGAAGCAATGGGCGCTTTCATCCGGTTTGCCGCACCCGCTAACCCCGATAAGCTGGAGCAGTCTCTCTACACACCATTCGCAGCAGTGCTTCAGGGCGACGTGCAAGAGTTTATGCCATATATTTTCCAGCTTTTCGCGGCTCTCCTTGAAGCCAACCCTTCTGCGACATTGCCAAGCTACTATCAGAACCTGATTGCCCCTATCCTCATGCCTGTCATGTGGGAATCGAAGGGTAACATTCCTGCGCTTGTCCGGCTGCTGTCCTCCATCATTCCCCGTGGCTCGCAATCCGTTCTCGAGAATAACCAGATCATGCCTATTCTTGGTATCTTCCAGAAGCTGCTCTCTACCAAGGCTAATGAAAGCCATGGCTTCGACCTTTTGGAGAGTGTCGTCGCAGCTTTCCCTCCGTAAGCTCCTACTTAGTTTTTGCCTTTGGAGTGTAACCCGCTAATCTTGTTTAGGACTGCGTTGGAGGCGTACTTTGTCTCTATTATGCAGATCATCCTCACCCGCCTCCAGGGCTCGAAGACAGAAAACCTGACCCTCCGCTTCGTCCGTTTCTACCACTTCATCTGTGCGCATGACAACAAGGGCTACAGCGCCGACTTCTTCATCCAAGCCACAGAGAACGTGCAAGCAGGGTAAGTTGATCCTGTACTGTTGGTGTGGGAATTTGCTAACAAATTTATAGCCTGTTCACGTCCATTTACCTGAGCATCATCCTCCCTGAAACCCAAAAGCTTGCCCGCCCATTGGACCGCAAGACGGCCGTGATCTCACTCGCCAAGACCCTGGCCAACTCGGAAGCATTCGCGAACAAGTACAAGAAGGGATGGGGTTTCACATGTGAGGCACTGCTTAAGCTCTTGGAGCTGCCACCCCTTCCGGTCAGCAAGGACGATATAATCGCCGAACATGATGTCGAAGACATGGCATTTGGAGTTGGATTCACAGCACTGAACACCGTGCGCACCCAGCCCAAGGACCCATGGCCCGAGACCGGTGCTGATCTTAAGGCGTGGGTTGGCCAGTACCTGAAGGAGGCTGATAAGACACACGGCGGCCGGGTTTCTGCATTCGCGCAGGAGCGTTTGGGAGATGAGGCCCGGGCTGTGCTGGGTAGCTACATTGCATAGATGCGTCGGTGATAGATAGTTAGAGGTTGGTCTAGAAAGGGGCGGCTGCGTTACGATTCATTGCATGTGTTTCATGAAGTCATTATATTTGAATAATTGAATTTATAAAGCGTTGGTCGTATGTTCCATTGTACAGTGATTTGGTAAAGGTGCCGCCAGCGGCATGTATGTGCATCTCCATCATCGGCCTTTTGTCTCTGGCGATGGTTGGGTGACGGTGTCTTCCGATTGCAAAGTGTGATCTTCCTCTGAATGTTCGTCGCCCTCATCATGCTCGCCCTCCTTGCTCTCTAGATCACGATACTTTTTCCGGGTTTTTTTCAACTTACTCGCCTTCTTCTTCTTCGCCCGCTCAGCCTTGATCGCAGTGCGACTCTGGTCCCCTTTCTCCAAGTCCTCAACGCGATCCGCGAGCAACTGCTTTGCGATCTTCTCATTCTGAGACCGAGAGCGGGTCGCCTGCGATTTAACGACAATACCAGTGGGTTTGTGGATCAATTGCACGGCAGAATTGGTTTTATTCTGTGTATCGTGGTTAGCCAATTACCCGATCCCATTTGTAAAAAAAAAAAAAAAAGAAAAGAAAAGAAGCGGAAATACAATTTTCTGCCCCCCAGGGCCTGTGCCCTTAAGATAGTAAACCGTCAGATCGGCATCGCTGATTTTCAGACGCGGAGGGAGCGGTTTATCGTGTGCCGGTGCGGAGAGGGAAAAGACCCGTTGTTGGCTGACACTCCATCTATGGGGTATCCTCGTTAGAGCCAGTGTCGTGTAGAAAGGCCCATTATGGAAAAGACCGCGAAGCATGGCTCTGATCTCTCGAACCAAGATCTATACATAGGCAGATGAGATGAGGTTTCCGTTACAGGCGGTGAGATAAGAACCGGCAAAAACGCAATCAGGGTCTTGGCTCGGGTTGGGGCTCTCCGTTCTCCGTATGTGGGTGAGGAAGGAGTGGGTTCAATGGTAAACTCTAGGATTCCCTAGCATTCTCTGGGAAGATTTGAGGACACTACCAAGTAAGCTTTGTTAACATAAGGGGTAGCCGAGGAATCGTATAGCTTGTTAGTACTCTACTATTCATGGATACTCGTAGATAAAGTTCTTACCTTTTGAGGCTGTCAAGATCTGACCATCTCCTATTGTTTTCTGACAAGGTCGATCAAACGGACTGTCTGAGCGTATCTCCTATTAAAATTATTCTAGCAGTATCTGAGTCTCCTTTTCCGCGTCAGCCACCCGATCCGCTCTCTCCACCGAACCGTCGTCGCTATGAGAGTGTCTCTGTCTCCATCCGACTGAAACTCCCCGTGTCCTCAGGGTCTTATCTTTCTCATTTCTTCATTCGTATTCGTTCTGGACTGCTTTGAATTTCAGTGCGACATTCGTTTTCGTATCTGATTCCCGTCCGAGGTCGTCTACCGCGGCTTCTTTCTTTCGTCACCTTGACCACAACAGAGAAAAAGATAAAGCAAACCCCTCTGCATCGTTCCTATCAATTACTTGCATACTGTACTGTGTCGCTCTTTTTTTTCTTCGCTCGCTTGGCTTTGCATCAATACCGGAAATCTATACTCGAGACCGGACCGGCAGAATTCATCATGCTCGATTTCTTCCTCTGGATCGCAAGTGCGCTGGTTCGCTGGATTCGCTTGAAGCACTATCAATATGAAGTGACCTTTGCCGTATACATGCTCACACCCACGGAGAAGTTCATTTTCAGTGCGTCTCCCCTAATCACCCCAGTTCAAAAGCCCGTCCAAAAACTCATTGCTAACAATGGCATACGCAGACTCCATCATCCTAACCACCGTCACCATGATCGTCACCGGCGCCTACATCTACCTCCCTAACCATATCCGAACCGTTTGCGGTCACATGTACTACTACCTGGTTGGCGATCGTACGTTCCTGTCGAGCAACTTTCCGTCGATAACGTCGGTTTTTGGGGAGACGGCGACGCAGAAGTTGGGGGTCATTTATGAGACGGCGAAGAATACGGCTGCCACAACGACGGAATCGATTGCTGAGCTTTGACCTGTCTTTGTCTTTTCTTTTTCTTTCTTCTTTCTGTTTGCTTGTTGGGTTTTGCTTTGACGAGTGATGGATTCAACTTTAACCACCGGTTGTGCGTCGCATCGCATCGTACGATTTTTCTTGTTGGTTTTGCTTGGCTGGCATTCAGAAAAGAAGTACTATAATTGTTCTATTCTCGGCGTCTTTTATTGAGCGGTTTCCTTATCTTCTGGGTTCTTGTATGAGAGCAGGTCGGCGCTCGTGGGTGTTTGCTTATTCTTCGTTGTATCTTTACTTGGGCAGATGTCATTGTTACTTTATTACTGTGGGATTGTTGACTATGGCTATTTTTATTCATTGATAGAATACCCTTTATAGCAATGGTTGCATTTGTGTGTACAGTCATTCTGGTAAAGTAAATTTCGGTGTATTCAGGATATCTCGGTTCTTTTCGTGGACACCGTAAAAAGTACAACCCTCCATGAAACAAAACTCCCAACGCCAGAGCGGTGTTATACAAGGGGCATTCGCACAAATGTAGTAGTACCCAACTCCATGCAACCATTCCAAACCCAGCCGTAACCCATGTCCCTGCATATCATACCATTCCATCTCATATACACGCCAGCCCCAACTAAACTCAATCAAACCCCCTCACTCCGACCCCTCTGTCCCCTCAGCGGATCGCTGCATCCTCTTCTCCCTCCGAATTGCATCTAACGCCCTCATCCGCGCCAACTCCTTATCAATCTCCTCCTTCTCCAGCGGAATCTTATGCGATTGTTCGGCGGACGGCCAAAAGCCGGAGACGTTGAAGCGGTCGTCGAGGTTCGTGCCGAAGTAATACATCCAGCCAATGGGGAAGAGGATGTACATCCCGAACTACGATCGTAAGAGTGGTTAGTGATTGAGCGGCCGGTTATGGGAAGATGGTGTGTGTATGTGTGGAGGGGAGGATCTGGGAAAGAGGGCTGAGGAGGGGTACCTTGAAGACTTCAAGGTTTCCGCCTTGGAGTTTGCGGAGAATGGCGGACATTTTGGTGCGTGGTAGGTAGGTATGTATGAGGTGAGTGTTCGATGTTCGAGTTGGCCCTGCGGCTTGATCTTGATCTTTTCACGGAGGTGCGGGATACGGCGCTTTCTCTCCCTATTCCCTATACACTCGTCTAAATCACAAATAACCAAACAAGATTCCGCTAATAATCATCGACAGATAATAATCGATAAATATGAGAAACCCCGAGCAAACGAGCAAATCCCGCCCAATGCGCAACACTCGATTAATTATCGTACGATCTGCACGCACCTAACAAATAATGCAAACATACCACGTGCGGTCACATGATATATTTTGGTCACGTGTAATCAGGTGACTTGTGCCGAAGGGCCTCGGCTTATCGGCTCCCCGCGAATTGACTCGCTCGGTACGGAGTAGGAAACGGGGATGGATAATTGAGTTGAGTCGCTGGTCGATTCAGTCTTCACCCGCTACTTTCCTTAAGACCAAGCTCATTGTTGTAAATCGCTCAATTTGAATAATTGAAATACGAAATTGTTGAAAATGACCTCCCCCATCACCGTGACCTACCGCGAGCGCATCGCCGTGATTACGCTTAATCGTCCTGAGAAACTGAATGCTCTAGATCAGGACTTGTACTATCAGCTGGGCGAGTACCTGCGCGAGATTGAGAAACGCGATGATATCTCTGTTACCGTTCTCACTGGTGCGGGACGGTTTTTCTCTGCGTATGCCTTATCCTCCCTACCCCTTACCAGCGCTACATCCCGAGCATATCCGCGGAGTCGCATACACCTAAGTACAACGATACTAACAGCTTGCAGCGGCGCAGATGTAACAGCCTCCCGCCCCTCTGGCGCCTTGGGCAGCTCCGCCCGCCGCGACATCCTCCGCAGCTTCGTCGCCAACAACATCGACGTCACCCGCGCCTTCTACTCGCACCCCAAGATCCTCGTAGTCGCTCTGAACGGTCCCGTCGTCGGTCTCTCCGCTGCTCTCGTCGCACTAGCAGACTTTATCTATGCGACTCCGCACACCTTCCTGCTTACTCCGTTTGCGTCGCTGGGACTCGTCGCGGAGGGTGGTGCGTCAAGGGCATTTGTGGAGAGGTTAGGTATTTCCAAAGCGAACGAGGCGCTTATCATGAGTAAGCGGATTACATGTGCCGAACTGGAGCAGACGGGGTTCGTTAATAAAGTCATCTCTGCACCATCCGGTAATCAAACCGATTCCGAGGGCTTTCTGGGTAAAGTGCTCGAGGAAGTCGACGAGAGACTTGGGCCACACTTGAACCAGAGCAGTTTGTTGAAAATCAAGGAGTTGATTCGGCGGCCGGGGCGGGAGGTGCTGGAGAGACAGAATGGGATTGAGGCGTTTATGGGGTTGGAGAGGTTTTTGAGTGGGGTGCCGCAGGAGGAGTTTCGGAGGTTGGCTAGTGGGGAGAAGAAGCATAAGCTGTAGCCTCGTTTGGGTGTGTGTATAGGATGAGTTACGGAGTTTATCATCTTCATCTACGTAAATTTCAAGCAGATATCATAGATGAACATAATACTTTTATTCAAATAAGCAACATCGCTCCCAACGCCCCAATCCAACCCTAACGGTAATAGCAAAAGCAAAATCATCAGTCATCACTATCAGCCGCCTCATCCTCCTCAATCTGTTTCGCCAGAATATCCTGCCACTTGCCCAGGAACTCGCTCATCCCACCAGGTCCAGCAAGCGACGCATCAACGACTTCCTTAGGCATCTTATGCGCCGAGTACTGCGGTGATGTGAATGCGTATGCCTCTGGGTCATCGCGTTTGATCAAACGGAACTCTGCAAGGAAAGGTGCGTCATCGTCTTCGTTCGCGGGGTCTTCCTCATCGGACTCTGACTCGGACTCTGATTCAGCAACTTCACCATTTGCTCCAAATTCCTGGAGAGTTGGGTTTCCGTTTTCATTCAATGAGATACGGACGAATCCTCCCTCTAGGGAATCCTCTTCCTCCTGCACATTCACAGGGTCCTTCATCTGCAGAATCTCTAGCCAACTGAACAACAATGGATCCGTCCGCTCAGCCCACGGGTTGACGTCAATCAACCAAACCCGCTGATGCGGCTGAGGCAGGTAGACATCAAATACAAAGTTAGGGTCCGGGAATGTATCCTTCAACTTCTCATCGAAGAACGACTGAATTCGCGAACGAAGGGCATCACGCATAGGAAAGAGGAAGTCGTAGTGGTTCTGGTCGCGCTGACAAATACACAAAAGGACGCGGTTGCGCACGAAACATCTGAATTCGAGAGACGGGTTGAAATTGGCGTATTTTCGGAGAACGAGGTGGTAGGGGATTTCGGGTTCTGTTGCGGGGCCTGTGTCGGTATCCGGGACACAGTCGTCAAAGGCGTGTTCGAGATCATGTGTGACAAAGTCGCTGCTCTTTAATAAAAGGTAGACGTCGTTTGCACTGCGACATTCGAGGTCGTTTGTCGCTGATATCCAGGTTGCGTCCTTTGGTGCACTCCAGTTTAACTTTGGTGTCACGTTGCCTCCAAACTCTTTGATTGTGTTCTTTACTTGGGTGTGCAGGTCTTTCCATTCGGTTGACGGGTCCGGAGCTTCTTCAGTTTCGTCGTCGGAGAAGGTATCGTCATCGTCATCGGAGTCGATCGGGGGTTTGTCTTCTGGCGGGAGGACGATGCTGTCGCCGCGGAGGTAGGTGATGAAAGATGTTGGTGCGGGGATTGCTCGAGACTTGGGTGCAAGAGTGCGGTACCTGCACATTGTTAGACTGCTATAGAAGCAGGTAAAGGGTCGCAGGACTCACTTTGGGTACCAGGAGTGATATGAACAGTTCAAGATGTGAGAATATGTAACCGGAGGGAAAGGTAGTCTATCCAGCTGCTCCGTTGAGGACGCAGCCGGAGGTTGCGTCTCAGATTCCATGTGTGGCATGCCGGTGTATGTTTATTGCCGTATAGTCAGAGTTTGAGCGATCACTTAAGTCTCAAAGGGACAATGCTGGTTTTATATGCTGGAGGAGTCATACAATGAATCGCCAGAGGCAGAAAAAATAGTTATCGGCGGGGAATGCGTAACACCCCAATCAGGAATAGCGTACCACTGCGGAGCAAGGCCACGTGCTGCCTCAGGCACAGTTGATCTTCAACCTGTCTCCAATCTGATTGCTGGCCTCTTCACTGGTTACCTTGAACCTACCACAGTATCACCACCATGGCGTCTGGCCCGGATCCTCAGAGCTTGAAATCATGGGAGGACGCATTCCAATACCCAATTCCCACCGTGCGTCGTGTAGAACAGGAGCTCCGCCGCGACATTGCGAGCAATAAGGAGAAGCTCCGCGCTCTGGTTGGGTAGGTCGGGAGCTAATGAATGCCACTCTGTGGCCCATGCTAATGCGAAAGTTGTGCTTAGGACGAGATATCGAGAACTTGTTGGGACAGCGGAGACGATTGTTTCGATGAACCGGGAGATTCAAGACGCCGATTCGAACCTCGCCGATATTGGACAACGATGCAACGCGAGACTGGTGGAGAAAAAGAATGCGCACATGAGTCATATTAAGAGCGATTTGTTGGATAAGGGTACGTTGACTATTGTCTGGGGCACCGGTTCGAGAGGCTGATCGAGACAGATGCGGACAAACGCGCAGTCGGAGCGCAGCTCTCTCTACTTCACCGCTGTACTGCTACAATCTCGAGACTACTACGAAGACGCGCTTCGCCGTTGCTAATCGCGAAACTCTTTGTCATTTCCCGACTCCTACATAAGACGTTATCGCAGCGGAGGTCCGTTCCGCCGTTCCTGGAGACCCTGCGCGGTCAGATGGCTTCTCTTCGACAGACCCTTCTGAAACGGATCCGGAAATGTCTTGGCTCTTCGAACTCGACGGCGGACGATACCATTGAAGCTCTGGCCTCGTATTGCTTGACTACTAGCTCGTCGTCGGATGATGCGATTCGCCATTTTCGGGATGTTCGTCTGGGTGTTATTGATAGCCAACTTGCTCTGACGGACTTTTCCGGCGAGAACGTGCTGAAGGCTTTCTTGCTGTACATCCGGACCCTACAAACGTCCAAGATTCTCTTGTCCCGTCGTCTGTCGGATGTCCTTAGTAAACTGAAGGCTCGGCCTATCCTCACGGACCCTGAAGTCCGCAACCTGGATGATCTGGGTATTGATACTTTGGGCCGATGGGCTGCTCCAGAAGTCACGAACTTCACGCCATGGATTAGACTCAGTGAACTTTCAAAGTCAGACGCAGAGAAAGTCATCAAGCAATGGTCTAGTCAAGCTTTCGAAGCTCTCATCGAGGGCTGCCAGAACAGCCTAGGAAGCTGGAACGACTTCTCCGATCTACTTATACTGCGGAAGAAGACCCTGGATCTATGGCTCAGCTCACGGAGCTCTACGCCAACTCATTCGTCTCTGGGTGTCGTTGAAGGCATTAGGACGATATTCAATGAGCAACTTACGCGAGTTCTGTTGAACCAAGCCAAGAAACTCGATCAATTCGGACAAAATATCTTGTCGACAATATCATACTGGGAAAGCAAGGAGCATTCGGAGACTCGGTCACTGTGGGATCACAACATCATCTCCCTTGACTACTCAAACGGAGCAACCGCCTTCAAACAAACAGTCATGAACAAGCTCCTAGGCCGTGACGAGGACATCTCTACCGCTCTAGAAGTATACCAGAACTGGCGCTCCATCATCGACTCATCCAAACAATTCATCGACGATCTAAAACGAACAAAGTGGTCGGATATTCTCGATGAAGGTGAAGACGAAGATCCGGACGTCGACATCGCAGCCATGTTAAACGACGATGACCCTCGACTCCTCCGAGATGCATTCCAATCCGCAGTCCACCAGTCTCTAACCACCCTCCAAGACTCCTTCAGCGATACCTTCGCCGCGTTTGGTCAATTGAACCGGAGTCTCAAAGCTGCATATCTCCTCCGCCTCATACGACTCGTCCGCAGGGATCTTCCTGCAGACTTCATCGCAACCGACTTCTCATTCTCCAACACCATCGTGCCCAAGCTACAGGAGATGCTTGCGATAGAAGTTGTTGCGCTTACTACTCCATTGTGCTTGTCTGACTGTAGAAAGAGACTACCGGGTCGGTCTCTTTGGGAAGGAGATCCTGAACTGCCCGTGCAGCCATCGTCTTATACATTCAAGTTCTTACGGAAATTAATGGATTCTATGGATCGGTGTGGACAGGACCTGTGGGATCTTTCTACAATGCAAATTCTGAAGCTGACGTTGCAGCGGGAATTGTCAAATTCTATTGTGTCTGCTTTTGAGAACTTGGAATTGCCTGCCCCTAAAAAGGATGCACCCAAACCTGGACCCGATTTCGAGAGCAAACGGGAAGACGAACCCCAACCAGCTGAAAAAGTCACCGACACGAACGAAGAACATCCTCAACCTGAGCCCGAAACCACCAACACTCCATCCAAGGAACACATCCGCGACTGCAAGGTCCAAATCTTCTACGACGCCATCTATCTCAACGACGCCTTGGCTGCCAAAGAAATCGGACAAAGTCAATGCCAATTGACTAAGGCTGTTGAGAATCTCCGTACTCGTCTTGAGGCTGAGAAACTAGTCGTTAAGAATATCGAGAAGGCGGCGAGTGAGCACTGGCAGCGGACAAAGCTGTTGTTTGGGTTGTTGGCGGTTGGATCAGAATGACGGGTTATCAAGTTATTTGATATGGATGAGGTCGGGACATGAGTCTATAGTGTAGATTAAGCGGTAGTGTGATATATAAGAATCTTCAGGTATTATTCTATGATATAATAATTTAGTTTTCAGGGCCCCCACTGCGGGCGTTCCCATCCTTCTCAGTCATTCAATGAAGGCTCACCTTTTGCTTCACATCACGGCTGCAGTCACCGTTCCGTGATGGCGCCGAAAATGGCCTCATGGCACTGTATTAGAGCCCAGGCCGCCATGGCGCCCACTCTTTTATTGTGGCCTCTTCCTATGTTTGTGCCTCAATTTTCCAGTCATCCTGCCATTTTCCTATCTCCGTCAGGGTACAGGGTCAGATATCGATATATATTAGGAATTGACGAACAGGATAAGCTACGGCCAGGCTATCTACAGGTTCATAGACAAGACGCAGCCCGAAGAGCTGCAACAGGATCAGCGTCGAGCACAGATAGATATCTTGTGTGGGTCATGTGCCTAGTAACGTGTATACATCATGGCTGGCACTGACAGTACTCCCCTCAAGGCCGAGCTCCGTCGAGGCCAGGCCCAGGCTTATAAGGATATCGGCGGTGGTAGTTCATGATGACTTCTCGGGCATGTTCCAGGTATGCGGCCGGTTCTTCAGTAGGGTCATCATATCCAGTCCACTTGACTGTATATTTCAGATGAGGTCCTCCATGGCCCCTTCTTTCCCAGCAGGAGTCCAGGATGTCTTCGACTTGCCATTCTTCCAGGCCATCAACTTCAACAGGTGGTGGCGGTTCTTGCCTTTGGCTGAGAACAGGGTTCCCAGCAGCAGGGAGGAGCAGGCTAACATTGAACACAGAATGTATCCTTGTTAGAACCTGGGGTTGTCATTGAGGCCAGCCGGACTTCAGAACGATACCTTGGTGTCTGGTCTGATCCAGAGCTCAATTTCAAGGAACACTGCAACCATATGCTGGCTAAAGCAGGGAAGAGCCTTGCAGCAATACGGGGAATAGTGGGATCTACATGGGGGGCATCTCTGGTGGCAATGAGGCAAATCTACCAGGCGGTGGTTGTACCACAGATGCTGTTTGGAATAGCAGCATGGTTCCAGGCCGGAATCATGCCGGCAAAGGAGCGTAATAGGGTAATTCAACAGTTTGTAACAGTACAAAAGTGGGCAGCATGCCTAATCAGCGGGGCGTTTCGAACAACAGCCGCAGAGGCACTAAACGTGGAGCTGTGGCTCCTACAGTGAAGCTACAGATGGAACGACTGGCGGCAGAAACGGCCATTCGGATACAAACAGGGCCGGAGCATGCGATTCCGGAGGGACTGCGACGAAAACGGCCGAACAGCGAGATCAAGCTTGGAAGACAGACACCTTTGGAGGCTCAGGCCTGGACAAAGAATGGATGCTTAACGGCTCCCCCAGGATCTGTGGCAGGACATTGGGAGAGCCGGTGGGCATTCATCCGGGGCACCATGGTGTAAGCCTCCAGAGGTGTTTATCGAAGAGAGGGAACAGGCCACGGCCAGGCACAAGGCGACAATACAGAAGGACAACAAGCCGTTGGTGGTCTACACCGACGGTAGCGGCTACCAGGGCCAGGTGGGAGCAGCTGCGGTCATCCCAGACATGGGAGTGAAAGTAAGCCGCCACCTTGGCTCGGAAACGGTGACCACAGTGTACGTGGCAGAACTTCTAGGCATCCAAATGGCACTGGAAGCGGTCAAACGGCGGAGGGAGGCCTGGAGGCGGAGAGAGAGGATTCAGCATGGTGTGGTCATCTTCTCTGACAGCCAAGCTGCATTGAAGGCACTCCTTCGCCCCCGCATGGCCTCTGGACAGGCATATCAGCGCGAATGCTTCCGATTGCTGGAGTGGTATACAAGAGAGGGGATCTCAGTGGCTATCCGGTGGATCCCCGCGCACGAGGGGATACCCGGCAACGAAGCGGCTGACCAGACGGCAAAGGAGGCAGCAACAGGATCAGGACAGCAATCCGGCACAACAGTGTGGCTGGCATCAGCGGCAAAGCGGAAGATACGGGGGAACACCACACAAAAGTGGCTGAAAATGTGGGAAAAGGCGCCAGAGGGAAAGCCAACAAAGCGGCTGGTCAGGGCACCAACAAGGAAGGTGCTGAGTTACTGGAAGGGCTTGCGGAAAGCCACAGCATCAGTAATGATGCAGATGCGCACGGGACAGATTGGTCTGAGCCATTACTTATCCCGCATCAGGGTCAGAGAAAGCGCATGGTGCGGGTGCAGGCTGGGCAGCCAGACACCTCAACATGTCTTGCTGGCATGTCCACTTTTGACAGAGCTAAGGAAAAGGATGTGGAGAAAACTGGAGGCGAAAAAGATATCCCGGACACTGGGGATGGATGAGCTGCTTTCGGAGCCGAAGGCGTCGGTGGCTATCGCTGATTTCATGGTCCAAACGGGCCTGCTCTCCCAATTCAATGCGGTGGATGAGGGAGCGCTTGGTGCAACAAATGAGAACAACGCAGCACAGGGTAGCTGAGCGTGGGGAATGAAGAGCAGCGCGAATAGTGGCCACAACGCCAGGATAGTGGTGGCCACAGGAGGAGATCAATGAATACAATAACTGCCAGGACCGGGCAGCCAACGACAGGAGTATATGAGGATGAAGAACTGGTGAAGTCGGTGATACGACAGTCTGGTGATGCAGCAAAGCCGGGTGGCCCGGTGAGAGGATGGATAGTGCTGGTGATGAGGGCATACAGCTGAGTTGATGTTTGTTTAAGCTTTTGATAGCATTGATTGCACACTTCTTTTCGCAGGGACGGTGGCCGGAGGAACCAACCCACCGGCCAAACCTTCTCTTCTCCAGTGCTGGCGCTGGCTGTTGACAGCTCGGAAGCGGCGCTTCGAGCACTCCTGCATAGCGACATGTATATAAAGTCAGCTACAACATGTCACGGGCTCGGAATAGTAGATAATAATGAATCAATGTTCCTATCTAGACTATTGCAACCATCGACGAGAATATCGAATCTGGAGAAGAAAAGAGAAGAGGAAATCTATCTAGGTAATGAAGGGGTTTTATAGAGGTTGTTGGCGTCATGGCTGAGTAGCAGCATTTGCAATGTATCATTCATTGCTGCAGTGTTGAGCCGTCATATATGAGTCGTCACAACTTTGGCGCTCTTCAGTATGAGGAGAAGAAGAAGATGATGATGACACAGTTATATTGCTAGTAGTAATAATGAATAATAATAAAACGGTTGAATGAAAGAATCTGTCGAAGGATGGATAAAAAGAGGTAGTGTTGGGGGTCAGTCTTAGCCCATAAAAGAGCAGATTAACTATGACAAGTCGGACTATCAACAATCACTTTATTCTTTCTCTCTCTTTTCAATTCTCTCGAGCAGGCAAAAAGAACTACTCCATGTCTACTCTTATCTCTCAGTTTCTGATTCTCGGCGCCCGTGTGTGAATATCCTCAATCACGTTCCCTACTGTCGACTTTCTGAAGGAAGATATGAGAACCTGCGGAATTGTTGGCACAGGCCCAAGCATCTTTTACTTCTTCGGTGCCACGACAACACAAGCCCAGGAAAATTTCCAAGATAAATTGAATCCAAAGGGCGTGATGTATAACGATGCCCTGGACAGAAAATACTTTATAAAGGTGCTGGAAGGCCGGGAGCAATTCAAACTGGGTCAACAGAATCGGATGCAGGTCTTTCGAGACCGATATGCACAGGCTCTCGCAGAGGTGGCTAAGGATGAGGTCTTTATGGTCATGCTCAATTACAATGGCGAGTTCGGGGGCACTGGGATCTATCAGAATTCAAGGGAAGGCGAACCTGCCAACGTTTGGACCAAAATTGAACTTCCCACCTTGCGAAAAAATAGACAGGTCAGGAAGATCACCTCTGTTTCTGTTAGCGACGGTTATAAACACCATGTCAACTGGCAGCCCGGCAAAGGGCGGGTTTTGCCGTTCCAAGATACCCGCCAAACCCCTGTCCCTGCCCCCCAGCCCGGCAAAAGGGATGCCAACCAGTGCACATTGGACGAGACCAAGGACAATGAGGAGTGTGAAGAATAGATTAGGGAAGCTGAGATTGGTTATGGCAAGGCGCAAGAGTCAACAGTGCAATCATTCTTCCATTCACGCTGTATTATTTTTATTATTTAATCAAGTTTATTGTCCATACCGAGCCCTAGAGCTATGACAGACCATGATTCATGGACTTGAGGCTGGCTGCTATTCTACAGTCTCTTGTCCCTATTAGTTCCTGAGGCACTCGCCCCCTTCTATAATTTCTCTGATCCTTTTCCTCTCCCCAAACCGCCTGTATGCACAGGGCTTTCGAGCACAGTGCTCTCCTTGTGTTTTTGGAGCAGGATGGGTGTGGCCTAGGCTGACTCTCAGCTTAGGCTACCCTTCCTGCTACCCTTCTCCTGTTCTAACTGCTTCCTCCAATGCTTCCAGTCCCCATTCGTCATCTCTTCGGGCCCTTTCCGCCATCTGCTGTAGGTGCGCCCGGGGTAGAGCTACACTGGTGCTGGCTAGGAATTGCAGCAATGCCCTCGTAGCTTCGGGCTCTCCTAGGAGTCGTCCTTGTGGATATTCTTCTGCAGTAGTGGGTCTCATGACTCTGTCTGTCTCTAGGTCCTTGTAGAGCCTGTTTCGTTGGTGTCGCCATTCCCGACATTCAAAGAGAAGATGGTGTGTTGTCTCCCTTGATATACTGCATCCTTCACAGGTTGCATCCTCCTGGACCCGGATCCAATGTAGGTATGCTCCTATAGCTGCATGTCCTGACTTCAGTTGAAAATAGCGGCTTGCTAGATGCTTGGGAGCCATTGCAGCTGCTGGGTCGAGCCGCCAGTTCTTCTGTGGCCTGTATATTTGTTGACCTTGTTGAGATCGCTGTCCAAGCTCCTTAGTGAGCCATCTTTGCCTTTGTGTTGTAATGGCTTCTGTTCGGGCTCTACAGGCAAAGGCCAAAGAGATCTCTCTTGGGCCTCTTCCTGGGGGCTTGTTGGCTGCCTGCTTTGCTGCCTAATCAGCTCTCTCATTTCCTTCTACCCCTGCGTGTCCTGGGACCCATTGGATAGTGGGTTGACGACCTTGGGCATGTAATTTCTTGGCTATAGCATGTGCTTGGATTGTTAGTGCTTGACCTGGCCCTGGCTGGGTGTGTTGCAGCCTCGCAATTAGAGTGGCACAGCGAAGCCGCAAAATCCGCGCCAATCCGCGCCAAATGCAACTCTATACATGTGTAAACAAGAAAAATGTCAGATAGATAATCAGATAATTAAAGCGCCATTCACGGTCGGAATTTAATTTAAAATAAACATTAGATCATTTTCTATTTTACATCCAAATATGAAACAAAAACATTAGAGTTCATAGAGTTGTCAATTAAAGATAACTAGAATCTGTGTACGCAGTATATAACTAGGGTACACTAAAAGTAAGATGGCTAGTAGGCGGAATCGTTGGCGGTGAAACTTCTCGAACACCAATTTCCGTTATTGCAATTTGGCCGCTATAGACTGCCGTAATCCGCATCATTCACGTGAGACTGATAAGATAAGGTCTGTAACAATAGGACTAGAATAGGGTAGATTCGGTAGATTCGCGTGAGTTATGCTAGTGCGGATGTGCCGCAGCCTAGACCTACAGACCGATATGATATACGGTGGTTATATTGAAGTCCTTGGATGGCATTCCGTCATCTATAGAAACATACCGTTCTTCCACCCACCCCTATTAGTACAAATCACAGCTCTCCCCCTCTAAGCCTGATGCACCAGCCCCGACTTGCGCGAGCTCCAGAGCTTGCGAGTGGCCGCAAACAGCGCATTCATCATGCCTTGGGCCTCCTTCTCGCCCATCTCCATGTCGCAGTCGGCCTCCGGCTCGACATCCGCCACATCCTCTTCCTCGACAGTGAGCTCGACCTTGACGGTGGCCGCGTGGCTGGGAACGCCCCTGTCGTTCAGCACGAAGAGCATGTAGTACCCAGGGAGCGCAATGCCGGGATCGTTCGGGATGGCCGCGTGGAAGACAGCACGGCCACTCTCGGCCTCAGTGGACCGAGTGAACGACAGCGGAATGCGGCGCTGGTCGGTGTTAACCGTGTGCGAGACTGTTCCCAGACGGATCAACGAGGCGTTTCTGATGTCTGCATCCGCCTGGAAGGCCAGATTGGCCCCGACCTTCACGCGGTAGTTGTTGACAATATCCGGCTTGCTAGGGCGCTCTGCCGGGGTGCCATCCTCGCGCAGCAGGTACGGCGGCGTGAAGATCTGCGCGTCGTAGTGGTTGGCCGTGCAATTGCCACAGAGTCCGCTGCCGCCGTTGAGCACGGTGGCGTCCGGCAACAGGATGGACAGACTGTGGTAGACACGCACGATGTTGTTCTGCTTCAGGGGCAGGAAGACGTCCCACTCGGGGTGATAGATCTCGGGCGTCAACTGGACGTCGCGCTCGGCCTCGTTGAAGGGCACGCCGTAGATCTCGCCGCCGGTAATGAATACCGTGCCGTCCGGGAGCACGACCGACGTGTGGTAGACGCGCTGGTTGTACATGCCGCCGACGCCCTTGATGCCGTCGGTGCCGTTCATGCCGGCCACTTTAACTAGCGGCCGCTTGAAGGGCTCCTTGATGGTGATGAGATGGGCATTGCGGTGGCCATACGAGCCGTCGTAGTACGCCTGGCCGCCAAAGGTCACGATCTTGCCGCGCACGGCGTCGAACATGACGGCGTTGCCCGAGGTCGAGTCCTGGTCGTTGAGGCGGCGCGTGGCGTTCTTCACCTTGCCGTCGCCGTGAGTGTCGAACCAGAACATCCTCTTGCTCGGGCCGGCGTGGAAGACGCTGCCATTCTTCCAGCCAAACAGCCAGGCGTGGTTGTCGTTGCGCAGCGGGATGTCGACCGTGTGGATGACATCGGACTTGATGTTGGGCAGGATGCGCCACTGGTTGGTTTTCGGGTTGTAGACCTCGCCGTCCTTGGGCATGTTGGAGCCGCCGCTCCACGAGCCGCCGATGGCGAAGATCTTGCCGTCGGACAGCGTGGTCGAGGCGTGGTATCCGCGGTGCAGGTTCATGTCGCCGCCGGGGATCCACTCCGTGCCGTCGTAGATGCTGGTCTTCTGCGAGTCGGCACCGCCGGACACGACGATTTTGCCGTCGAAGTCCATCGAGATGCCCGGGCAGAACATGTCGTGGTGGGTGTTGGTGACGTTGGCCTGCACGATGTCCTGCAGGTACGGGTCCCAGGTGGCCGTGAAGGTCTTGCCCCCGGGCGACGCAAAGAAGCGGTCGTCGGTCCAGGCCGACCAGAGAATGATGTTGTGGTGACCGTTCGCATTAAAGCCATGGGCGCCCGCCGCGGCCGTGATGGGCAGGTCCAGGGTCGGGCCCCAGACGCCCTTGGAGGGCTCGTGGGGGAGCACCGCGTTGGTGGTGTAGATGTTGACGTCGACGATCTTGGTGACGGCACCGGGATCCTGGTCGCTAGAATTCTTGGGAGGAGGCGCCTCGCTCATGGCCACGAGCCTGACGTATCGGGCTTCAATGGCTTCGAAGGCGGACAGCTTGGGGCTCTTGTTCCAGCCCCAGGTGCCGTACGCAACTTTCGTCCAGGCGGCGCCATCCACGCTGACACAGACCTCGTGCTTGGCGATCTGGCCGCGGTCGTTCTCCCCCATGAGAGGACGCATGGAGATGCCGTTCACGTTGCGCACCTCGTGCAAGTCCAGGGTGAGTTCGTCCTTATGACAGTCACTCTGGGACTCGCTGGCCCAGTGGGTTTCCGCGAGACCGTCGTTGGCATACTCGCACTTGCTGCCCGCGGCCAAGCTGGAGCAGTGCGTCGTGAACTGATCGCGGGGGAGAAGCTTGCCGCCATGAGGCCGGGCTTGCCAGAGATAGCCCTCGGGGTCGATGGGCCCTTCGGTCTCGGGCTCGATGTGACTCGAATCGGTGGCAAAGGGGATGTGGGACTCCGCGTTGGCGTCCACAGAGCGGGCAATCAGCCCCAGGAGGAGGCCCGAGGCCCAATGAAGCTTCATTCTCAACAGAAGTATGAAAGAAAGATGGCTGTCTGGAGGGAGACAGCACGGATGGGCCGGCCGGGGTAGAAATACCAGGCGGGCGTCTCAGCGTGGCCATCCCCAGCACCACACGCACAACGCTCGCACAGGCCAGGGCATGATGCAGAAGATTTGGAATCCCTTCAGCAGAGGTCGTGACGTAGGTGGTTTAGCTGAGGTGGTCCATTGGTCCCATTCTTGGGCCCTGGCGATGCCCTATGCCAGCCACCCGAGATTGCGATCTGCGCAGCGTCTCCATGCAGGGCCCACTGGGCCTCTCCAGCACCAACAAGCACAAACCCATTATCATCCAGTCGATCATTGTTCACACTGGGAGATCCAATGCGGCCAATTGGACGTCGATGGTCGCAATGTGGGGCATCACCGATATCTGCCGGCCCACTGCAAAGCCAACAGTGCATGGACCGGGGCCCTTGCACCGCGATCTGCCACACCTGGCTGCGGAAATCATATCGATGCTTCGTGGCCGTGAATGACCATGCATCCATTATGCGAGTTTCAGCTATAAGCAACGCATGGCGCTAATTGGCCTGGGCGGTGATGGTCCATCACGAACGGAGACGTCGATGATGTCGTGTCTCCTCCCAGCTGAATTCGCACAGATGGCAGTGCTGCAGCTGGCAGCGATTAGAAACGCATGCGTCTAATTGGCCATGCCACTCGTCGGCCACCACGACAGCGAGGCGAGATGGCCATAAGAAGTCGTCTGTCCGGCCGGGCCATGATCTCAACCTGACCGATCCAACAATCTGATTCAATCTTGAACGACATTCATCTCCAGGATGGTGTCTAAAGTCGACCCCGCCAACATCCAGGGTAGTATCTGGTCAGTATAACACATATGCCCTCGAGCTCTCTCACAAGTGCATCCCATGCTCACTGGTGGTCGACAGGCCCCGTCTCCCCCGGTACTACGAAACCTTCCTGTTTTTCAAGATCAAAGACCTCGAAGAGGACGGCTCCTACGCCACGTTCAAGGAACACCTGAGGAAGCTGGTGGAATCCGGCAAGATCACCACTGGCAGCAAGTGCAAGGAGTATCTCGAGAAACATGACGGCGTTAACGAGGCCCGGGAAAGAGTGGACACTCGTCCCGAGGATCGCCACACGTTCAATGCGATCAACATTACCTTCTCCGGCAAGGGTACGACCAAGCTGGTTGGGCCGTACGACGAGCTGAAGCTCCGGGACCTACTGCATGAGCGCGGCATGTACCAGGACATGGTCTTCGAAGGGCCCGACGAGACCGAATCCCTGGCCCCCGAGTACCGGCCGCCCCAGGACTGGCCCAAAAACAACGACAATTGGCGGTGCGACGGGATGTTCATCGTCGCCGCCCAGCGTGAGGACGAGCTGGAGGCCACGGTCAAGGACCTCAAGAGCTACTTCCGCATTGCCGACGATCATACCGTTGACGCCAAGGAGGCCAGCGCGAAGATCACGCTGACCAAGAAGGGACACGTTCGCAATGCCGATGGCAAAGCGCGGCGGAGGGAGATTCCCGACGAGAAGGACCCGTCCAAGAAGCGCCTGGAGAACCTCCGGGGCAAGGAACAGTGAGTGTTTCCCTGGGAGATCTCGCAGACCACCTTCTCTCTGACCTGTCGCCCTGCTTCTGCTCAGTCTCGGATTCGAAGACCACATTTCGCAGCCTCCCATCGAGGGCCTGGACCCGCCGCCCAAGGAGGGCGAGCCCCAGGCCATTCCCCCGGGGTAAGTTGGAGCCTTATTTATCCATCGAGGATGGTGTACTGACGCGTTGCTAGTGTGATCTTCCTCAACCGCCGGGGAGACAATACCAAGTCGCCAGAGTGGGCCACAGATGGCAGTTATTTAGCCTTCCGCGAGATCGAGGAGAAAGTGCCCGAGTTCAACGAGTACGGTTTGCTCTGGTCCCCTGTATGAGGGTCAGGCTGATGCGGTCCTACAGATTCGTGAAGACGCAGTCCGAGCAGATGCACACCTTCAACGACGGCACCGGCGAGAAGCTGGCCGCTTATATGATCGGACGATGGAAGAACGGTAGGAATGGTCCTGTCCCCCGTCTAGGAGGACGACTCTAACGGTGCCTCTGCAGGGTCCCCCGTGGTGCTGGACAGCGAGAACTCGGTGGCCCAACATCCCTTTGCCAACAACTTCGAGTTCAAGCAGCATTATTCCAGCCAGAAGGAGATCAAATGTCCGATTGCCGCGCACATTCGCAAGATGCGCCCTCGCGCCGACCTCTATATCTCGAAAGATGGCGGGGATGTCTCTGCGCAGACGAACTACTGGAACAACACCAACGTGATCTTGCGTCGCAGCGTCACCTTTGGTCCGGAGCTCCAGCCGGGCGAAGAGAAGATGAAGCCCTCAGAGCGCCCCAAGCGAGGCATTTACTTCATGTGCTACCAGGGCGACTTCCGGAATGGCTTCAACTTCCTGACGAGTCGTAAGTTCCCATCACCCCCCCCCCCCCTGACCTGCTCGTCCGACTCTAACAACACCAGGCTGGGCCAGCAACAAGGTCTTTTCGGGCAAAAAGGGGATGGAGGACCCTGGCCAGGACCCCATCGTCAGCCAGCGCAACCGCCCCGACCACCCGGAGCCCACATTCAGCATCTACGACGGCAACCAGCCCAAGGAGCTGAAAATGGGCTATCTGCCGTGGGTCGACCAGCGCGGGGGGGAGTATTTCTTCACGCCGTCGATGGAGGCCTTGCGGGGGGTGTTTGTGAACGAGGTGGAGTAGGCTATACCAAGTCTTTAGGAGTAGACGTTCAATCAATCAAGTCTCTCAACCATTTCCCCTCTTAATTCCGTATCTCGACATGCGCCGGGTGGCTCGCCACCAGATCTTTGTTCGCTGTGGGTCAGTCAAGGCCAATCGGACAGGCCATTGTGGCGATGCACGGCCCAGCTGCAGCGCCAAAGAGTCAAGTATCCGCGAGGCTAACGTTTCCCGTAGATCACAGGAAAACAGGCAACTTTGGATGCGATGGATTGGAATTCAAAGGTATGGATTTCCATGGAATCGACAGCCATGCGTATAAATCGAGCCACGGTGCGCCTTCTTGCCCTCCACGCCGTCTCTCCCTTCGATCAAACTCCTTGAACTCCCCAGTCTACACGCATTAGGGTCCTTCACCATGCCCTCCTACCTTGTCACCGGCGCCTCCAGGGGCATTGGCTTTGAGTTCCTCCGCCAGCTGTCCAACGACCCCGCCAACACCGTCATTTGTCACGGGCTCGGCTAGACCGCGGCAACTCCCATGGAACCGGTCCCAATGGGAATTCCCATTCCCGTCCGTAGTGGGAAATGGGACTAATTGTTAGTCCCATTGGGCGGGACCAACACCCCCTTAGAACTTCCAATAGGAAATTGGGAATTCCCATGGGACTGAAAACGATGCAAACATCGAATACCTCGTGACTTGCATAAAATATGCATTTCCGGCCGTATTTTTCGGTATTCCTTTTACAAGCCTCGCGAGTCACGATGGGTCCAGATTTCCTTCCAGATGTGTGGTGCTGACTCTGCTGAGTGTTAGGCAGTGGAAGAACCGTCTCATCATCCGACATATCAGCATCCCTATCTTCTTGCCCAGTAGCCATAGTCCTCGGCCGTTTACCCATCACATGTTGACTAGACCTCGGCACCGCCCGCCCATGGGCGGTGGGAGGCCGCCCGTCGCCCACCCGTTTGAGCCCATAGGGCGGTCACTGGGCGCCCGCGCCCACCCAGGGTGCCCGCATAGGGCCGCCCTGGGCTGCCCGTTTTAGCCCATTCTGTGCATAATTTTCCTAATCGGGAAGCATAACTTGATGATTCAGCTAATAAATTACCTATGTTTTATGCTTGTTCCAGTTTCATTCCTTCCTGGGTGTTGGTATTTATCTACCTCCGCCTTGAAAATTGAATAGACCCTACTTGTACTTGGATTCTGCAGATTTTGTTATACTAGATACTTCCTGGCTCTGAAAGAAAGATGTTGTTGGTGGCTGCTTATTTACTTGAGTGGTGTGAATGCCTAACTTTGTGTGAGAAATATATACTTGAGCACCAGGGGTCTATAGCACCGTCGTTCAACCAAGAGCATCAGTATTTAAAGCTTTATTCCTTAGTGATTTCACCAACTTCAAAACGCGCATAGGCAATCTAGTAATTTTATTTTATATTTATCATATCACAAAGTGCAACTATTCTTGATAAAAGAAAAATTCACAACTGCTGGGGGGTGTCACAGGCTGCGCCTGTTGTCACGGGCTCGGAATAGTAGATAATAACGAACTGAATTCCTATCTAGACTATTGTAGCCATCGACGAGAATATCGAATCTGGAGAAGAAAAGAGAAGAGGAAGTCTATCTAGGTAATGAAGGGGTTTTATAGAGGTTGTTGCCGACATGGTTGAGTAGCAGCATTTGCGATGTATCATTCATTGCTGCAGTGTTGAGCCGTCATATATGAGCCGTCATATATGAACCGTCATATATGAGTCGTCACACCTGTTGCATAAGTGATATGTTAGTCAGGTGGAGAGGCTATCAGATGGCCCGGGGTAGCCCTGGGCACTGCCCTCTGTAGCCCTGGGCTGCCCAGGGCCACCTGCAGGCAGGTGGCAGTATAGTCTAATTATATCACGTCGATAGTAGGGCAGTGGGTTTATCTTGTGATAGATCAATAATATGGTTCTTATCATGTGGAGTAACCAGTGATGAACAGTTCAACAGACCCCAATGCACCTAACACACTTCCCTCACTCAGAGAAAATCTGGTAAGTCTCTCAATTCTTTCTTCACCCACACAAGTCTATTTGGTTGTACTCATTATGTCTCAACAGTCTGATATCTACTCCTCATCTCTCTATGAGGGTGACCCTATAGCTGCATTCAATCTGCAACCTACTCAGGCCACTCTAACTGAGACTCCTTCTTCATCCTATGTCAATTCTGATAGCCTTACACAATTCACTCCTCAGCCGAATTTCGACCAGCAGTTACTTATATCCACATCTGATTCTGATTTTTCTCACCCACCTGCAATCCCATCAAGTCTAACATGTATTCGACCTGACCGTTTCACCGAATTCATCCAATATACCAACATGAATAAGGAGGAGTTTGTCAATTGGTGGCTACAAACAACATATGGAAAAAGCCCTGGGGCAAAAACATTCAACTGGGATCGAACTGGGCATCTATCTGAAGTGTGGAAACACTTTGATCAGATTGCTTCTGTTACTGATGGGTTTCCAAAAGTGAAATGTCAACGATGTGGCAAGATATTTGATCATCCTGGACATACCAAAGGGGGAACCAACTCAATGGGTAGACATTTTAAGGGAGAGAAATGTCAACGAGCTGCCATGCAAACTCAGCAGTCAAGTATTCGACAGCTTATGCAAGATGAGGTTAGTCAACCCCTGATTGGAATGCTCTGTTATTAAAAGTAGCCAGGCTAGTAAATCCTCAAAAAGTAATCGCACTGTAAGTAGAGAAGAATGGGAAGAAGAGCTCATCAATACAATTGCAGCCCTACGGCTTCTACTCCAGATTGTGGAGCATCCACAGTTCCGGAAGTTTATACAAGTATCTCGTCTAGCCATTTCTTCACCTGAGTTTCCTTCTGCTAGGACAGTTGGCCGACGGCTGAAAAGTATTGTCAAGCAACGTCAGCAAAATATCCTTCAGAGACTTCCTGTAGGTGCAAAGCTCTCCATTGCCCTTGACTGCTGGACATCTCCATTTCAACAAGCATTTATGGCAGTTACTGGCTACTTTATTGATTACAATTGGAACTACCGAGAGATATTGCTTGGCTTTGAGCCACTTCATGGAACACATTCAGGGGTGAATCTGAGTGCTGTCCTTCTGGATCTACTCCAGCAGCATCAAATTGCTGATCGGGTACTTACAATTACCACTGATAATGCATCAAACAATAATACATTCATATCAAGCATTCAAGAATCTGTCCAGTCACTTGGCCTTGATGATGGCATTTCTATTATCCAGGTTCCATGCATCGCCCATGTTATTCAACTCAGTCTCAAACAGCTTCTTGGTCAGATGAAGGCCAATCCGCGAAATGAGACTGTTGAAATGTGGTCAGAAGCTCGGTCTCAATCAGTTCATACAAATGCAAGGCAACAAAAACAGGAGATTGTGGATACTTTGAATAAGGTGAGCTATATGATTCATTAATCTACCACTATACTTTATATCCCTCTCTAACTCTCTCTGATCTTAGATTCGTAACTTGGCAATATACATTAATGCAAGTCCTCAACGCCGTGAAGCATTCTATAATCTCCAAACTGGTTTGCCAAAGCTAGTTCCGATCCAAGATGTAAAGACTCGCTGGAATTCCACATTCCTAATGCTTCGTCGTGCAAAGCGATTGCAGTCCATATTTAATGAGTTTTGCTCTGAATATCGCCTTCGAGTCCTAAAACTTGATCAGGAGGAATGGCGCCAGATTGAGTATCTCCTCTGGATCACTCAGCCCTTCTACAAGTTCACTACTGCACTATCAAAAACAACTGATGTGACCTTCCATATTGTCTTTGATATTTACAACCAGCTTTTTGAACATTTGGAAAGGTCAACTCAGCAGCTTCAACGGAAGAAGGTTCCTTGGAAACAGTTAATGCTCAAAGCACTAGGTGCAGCAAGAGATAAGCTTGCAGATTACTATAGCAAAACAGACGAGGTTGATGGTGATCTATTTGCAATTGGCACAATGCTTGCACCAGAGAACAAGCTACAGTTCTTCTCTGGAAAGGACTGGGATGATGACCATGACTGGCGCCAGCAATATCATCAAAGTTTTGAAGCCTACATCAAGCCATACAAACAACGCCTTGCTCATTCCCAGACATCATTACAGGTCCAAGCATCATCGCTACCAAGATCAGCAATTGAAATGTCTCTTAAAGGAGCAAAGTCTCACCGTTTGGGCCAACGTGATGAGCTTGCACAGTATCTTGAAGCTGGTATGTGAGCCTGTGGCATCCCTATCTGTCTATAGTCTTCACCATTTGCTAATGCAAAATATAGATACTGTTGACATTCCCCCTCGTACATTCTGGAAAGAGAATCAGTATAAATACCCTGCTCTTGCTAGTGTCGCACGAGATGTCCTGTCTATTCCAGCAACTGGTGCAGGGGTGGAACGGCTTTTCAATTCTGCCCGAGATATCTGTCACTACCGTCGGGGCTCATTGAATGCCACTACCATCCAGGATCTTATGATGTATATGTGTGCATCAAGATTTAACCTTGAGGAGCAGCAGCTTGAATTGCTTGATGACTTTCTCTCTGAAGAAGAGAAACAGGAGGCAACTGAAGAAAAGAGTACAGAGCTTCTTGATGACCTTGATCCAATCAGTGATGATGAAGATAATGCAGTGCTTGTCTATGAACAGTCTGCAACACAACAGCTTTCAGAGCAAGCCACAGGGAAGAAGCGAAGGAATATGGCATCTGAAGCAGAAGCCGAGGGCCAGGAAGGTGCCCAATCTGATGATGGAGCAGATATTCCACTGCCTGAGATAGCCAGTACCCAGCGGCGGATGTCAAGGAGCCGGAAGCGCTCAAGACATTGGGATGATGATTTTGTACATTATTAGCTGTATATCATCGAGTAATTCAATTGATTTCAGGCAGAATCTGGCCACAAACTTGCTTCCCCATCCCTTTACTTTGCATGTAAGCGAATACCAAGATTACCGATAAAAACAGCATAAATAATGCATGTCACGGGGTCCCCTATGTTTGCACTGTTTGACCGCCCGCCGGGCGCCCGTTAATGCCCGCCGGGCAGGCACTTAGGGCCCGTTAACGCCCGCCGGGCAGGGGAAGACTGCCCACTGCCCGCCCTTGGGCGGGCACGGACTGAGCCCGGCTGGGCATGCCCAGGGCGGTGCCGAGGTCTACTTGTTATACGCTTGATTTATCTTGAAAAAAAAAAAAAAAGAGAAAATTCTGTCAGTATCTACAATCATAGTAGTAGTTATACAATGTGTAGATAACCTGCTGAATACAAAATTTACATGTTATATCTTATACAAAACTAGTATATGCAGTGCCTGAATGGGTTGAATATTGACTGCACACGGCTACTTGAAAGACACTTAGGGTAAGTGTCCTGTCTCGAAATACAACTAACTAGAACCCTAGGTACGCATCAGTTGGTATTGTTCGGTAAGGAACCTCTATATTCCGACACCCTCGCTTTTTGCTCGGCAGTTATATACAGTAGTTAGCTTAGCCGATAGCCACCGACCAATCAACCATCCACTACACACCAAAAGGCGGGCTGGCAGAATGACAATGTTAAAAAGGTTATTATCCTTTACGCTAAATCACTTTTAAGGAAAGATTTGATTGTGACTATGTGCAGATGCCAAGATAGCTCGGTGTTTTGAAGTTGGAAAAGGACAGCCAATGATCAGTGGCTGTAGCATGCCATTAGATTAGAAGGATTCTAAGGGATTGAGATTGCGCGGCGCTGCGCGATGTTGGGTGATGGTTCACCCCCATCTATAGCGCACTCACCCAGGCTCACCTCTGGTCGCTCTACTCTAACTCACTCAAAAAGTACTTGGTACTTATTTAACTAGAAGGTAAGTACATACGACCATAGGGTGTGGAAAACAGGGCTTCCCGTCCGCTCAGCCGTACTTAAGCCACACGCCGGCCGGTTAGTAGTTGGGTGGGTGACCACCAGCGAATCCCGGCTGTTGTATGTTTTTTTGTTTATTTTTCCCCCTCACTGAGAAATTGGTGATGCCTTGAGGTGATCAGTGGTGAGTGTGACGGCTCAGCGCGTCAACGCCAGCCTGATGCCTCAGTGGCTTATATCGACGAACGCCGCCATCCGAGTAAACAAAGAAAGCACTTAGCGCGGCCACACAACACATAGATGAAAGGCCCTTTTCCTGTAGATGGATTTCCTCTTCTCTTTTCTTCCCCAGATTCGATATTCTCGTCGATGGTTGCAATAGTCAAGATAGGAACATTAATTCATTATTATCTACTATTCCGAGCCCGTGACACCAAAGAGGACTAAGAAGAAAGAGCAGTGCCGTGGAAGATGCAGCAATCAAGGACATTACAGACAAACCTGTCAGGAAAATATAGGGACCTATGAGGAAAATGATTCTGAATAGTTTCAATTGGTTTTCTGGTGTTAGAGTTGAATCTACTAGTATTATTTAATGGTGGTGTGGTCAAGTGTCTCACACACTTATCTGTCTCACTCGCTTATCATGCACATTATTTGAAGAAATGATTCTAGCCGCATGCAAATCTGTATCGGATATCAGGTGAGTCACGAGTCAATAAACATTTCAGGGAGTGGGCGGCAATATACCCTAGCGCTGGATCAACAAATCGAGTAGCGTAGCCATTGAATACATTTTTCATAGTCAAAAAAGTTGCCATCTCTCTTGAAGGTAGTCATTACACAGTAAACACAGAAGCCCACCAGGATATAAGAAATAAACAAACGTCCTGGACCCCCAGCTGCCAATGGCTTTCCAGTGCCAATGGCCAGCCCGGTACCGATGGATCCTGCAATTGCGAACATGTTTACATGGCGGAGTTTGAGCTCTCTGCGAAGTTCCACATCTTGACTAGAAAGTTGCTGGCTATCTCCCTCCACCATGTCTGGGGCCTCGCTATTATAGAGGGCATGCTTTTTATCTATACCGAACTTTTCTGGAATATTAATATATTAGGCTGATAAGGTAAAAGGGAGTGCCGGTTCGTAGTCGAGGAAAAGGCGTAATAAGATTCAGCATGGCTAAGAACAGTGACTCCAAGAAAGTTCGAGATTATAAGTGCGGAGTGTTCCTCCCCCGACAAGTTCGATGGAATTCCGGTTTTTGATAACAAATAGAAAATAATCTCATTTAGACTTAAATAATGCTTCTAAGCATGGTGGTTTGCTGCATTCTACCGGGCCGAGAAGCTAGTCGGCCACGCCCTATGAACCACCTAGTTTCTGGCTTAGGAATATTTGCTCGTTGACAACAGATCCCAGAAGAGAAGAATGTTTCTCAATCGGCTTTGTAACGGGGTATGTATGGGACCAAGCCATCTTCGTAATCGCACCGAGATAGTTATTACCCCTCTAACACGCATTCCTGTCCGAGAAAGTTAGGGCTTCCGGGCGGACCGAGATCTGTTCAGTGACTTCCGGGTCCAGACTGGAACTGCAGAATCAACCCAATAAGAACTTTTGTTTCCGAGGAATTGGCAAGATACTGGACAGGAGCGATAATTGATCTGCAAAAGCAGGGAGAGACATGAGTATTCCTGTTAATCATTTGCAGTTAGAAAATCATCCGAGTAGTAAAAGTCGTAAATGTAAATAGCTATGTATAACTAACTATAGTTATAAATATATATCACTCACTATGGCGAAAATTGGGGTTAGCATCCAGTTTAAGTGTTATCAAACTAACGTGTCTTTATTCAAGATCCCCCCAAATAAATAATAAGTTAAGCGTATGTCCCAGGTTCCAAATTGAAGCGCCAAAGTATAATCATTGATTTCGTTACTCAGCATCATTGTGCCAAAGGATTGGCTAAGCGTGATGGCCTTGACTATCCTTCTCAGTAATACCCACGCTCTTGACTTCATCCCTCGACACAGGGTTGGATGTATCTCCACTGCGGCTCAACCACATGAAAATACGGCACCTCTGCCGCCATCGATTTATGTCAATTTCTATATGATGGGAAGTTTTGATTTTACATGATTGCAAGCTTGTTGAACCTGTGCGTACTTGATGGGGAGGTATCTTTGAGTGGTGAGTTTGCGGATATATCAGTATAGAGGGCATTTACAAGTTGCACAAAGGTAATAGCGTTAAAATGTCTTGGTTGGATGATCTTCAACGACATTAATGGGATTAGAAGTGGCGCATTGCACCAGCACTTCAATCATTGCAGCCATTCATTCTACGTGAAGCCTGGAAGTACAGGTCGGTGAAAAGATCCTTGTATTGTAACAGTTTGGCCATGTTTGATCAAATTAATTCTGTTATACACTACTCCAAAGTCGGTTTTGGGTGCATAGTTGACTTTGGATGAGTGAATGGTTACAACTGAAGATATCCGTATTCATACGATAATAACCTACTGCACGATGAAATACCTCTAGAGAACAATCTAGGTACATGCAATAGGATATAAATACAGGTAAATCAAGTAATAATGTCAGATCTAGCCTCCAACTCCGCAGTAGAAGCAAGCTTACGCTCCACTCCATCGACCTCGTACCTGATGGATCTGAGAACACGAACAGCTTCACGAGCCCCAGCCCTCCATTTCTCGGGTGACGTACGTAGGATATGCTTCTCGAAGCCATGGAGTGACCACGTTTCCGTCAGATTGCTTAGTTTGGATTCAACGTTGCCGATCTGAGGAGTGATGCTTTCCAGCACCTCGATTTCAGAAAAGGTGAGAGGGCGCTTGAAAGCTGCCTTCCAACTATCGCGGACGGCTCGGATGGTCCTAGTCGCTTTGTCAATCTCGATCAAGACGTTGATACCTTGCGTGAACAGAAAAGCCCTGATATGGATCTTCAGGGTACCCGCAGAAGCACGAGTTCCCCATTCTCCGCCTAAGACTGTATCGCACAGTTTCTGTATCGAGATTAGAATCTGGCCGTGAAGGGTTTCGCGGGCACGGCGCTGCTCGTAAATCCTGGTAAAGATAATCCTCCAACGCCTCTGTAGATGCACAATTATCTCGGGATTAAAGCCCATGTACTCGTCCTCTTCAGACTTGTTCATATCTTGTCGTTTCTCATCGGAGACAGCGACTGCTTCTGCCATTCCCTGGAAGTCCTGAAGTATGTCGCTCAACTTGGTAACGCGAACTCCCTTCTCGAAGAAGCTGCTCAGGTGCAAAGGGTGGGTCGCTTTGTCGTCAAGAGTGATGATACACATTTTGTCCTTTCCATTGTACAGACGAAAAGAGCTCAAGAGGTCTTCTTGCAGCCTTTGGAGGAAGCTAGAGTCTGAAATAGAAAAAGTTCGTAAAACCTGCAAATTCCGTTAGTACTATTATACCGGCAGCGATCAAACCAACTTACAGCTTGAACTTGGTTTATGAGTTCGGATATTCCCCTCAGCGGAAGCGGCCAGTTACTAAGATTCAGAACAACAGTAGCAAGAAAGTCAGAGTTTCTTCTTCTGATAAAGGCGTCCGGACGGGAACGGCCGAAGAGGAACCTGCGCTGATTCATGACTCGTTCCAGGTTGCTAGCAATTGTGCAGAAGCCGGCAGTCAGATTTAAGAGACAGCTTCCGTAAGCCAGCGTTGCTTGATCTGGCATCAATCCGGACTTCGCATTGCGAGCATGGATTATGGCGGGGAGGTGCAGCGCTGCCCAGGACCATGGGATGGCCACTGCATTCCCGGGGTTAATCATGCTTAACTATCCTTCAAGTTAGCCCCATCTCCCTTCAATGTAATATTTCTGACTTTACCAGATATGTAGCCGTGAAGTCAAACACAGACACCAACGCCTCATACGCAAAGAGCGCGTTGAGGTCAATGTATTCGACATGATACAGGAATGCCGAGACTTGCGAGGCCTTGTACGTGTTAGCGTTTGGTACCATACTAATGGAACATTTTGACTCACAAAAACATTGAAATCGTTCAATGCCATTGTATTGCGAATTCCCTCTGCAAATAACACGGCGCTATGTGCAGTCTCCAGGCTAGTGTTCATCATTTGATGTTGTAGGGTGCACCAGACCCTATGGTGCAACGCTCGACCAAACCGTATGTTTATTTGCGGGTCTTTTTGAATGTAAGCCATCAATACCCCTAATGATAGAAACAGGTTGTTTACCTAAGAAACGTGCCAGATGAACTTGCTCTAACATCATTGTGAGACTCTGACGACTCGTCCATTCTTTTGCCAGTCGATGAAACAAGAGATCTTCCAAGCATGAAGCAGTTGCTGCAAGTTGTCTGTTGGTTCGAATGTGAAACTGTGCAAGAATCGTTGCTTCGGGTGATTGCTCGAAAGATGCGACAACTGTCAATTCCTCGATTAGGTTCTCTAGCCAGCGCCTCCCTTGGTGAAATGTTAGTTCATCGCGTTTGCCTGTAGTTAAGTAGACTTACTGCGCTTTAGAAATGCTTCTTGGAAGTCATCGTCCATGATCCTTTGGAGGTAAAGTGGCGTGAGTTGGCAAAATACTGAACATATTCTCAATAGTCCCTTTTGACGAGTTAGCCAATATCTTCCTAAAAGGCTTTCACTACTGACATTTACTCTTGAGGTACAGTATTCGGTATTTGGAACCTCGTGCGTGTATGGACAGCCTTTCAGTCTGTTTGGACAATTGCCTAAATGTAGACGTTAGTTTATGCAGGGTGCTTGGTCGAGCTTCACGTTACCTACCTCTGGTAATAAAGGAGGTACACCGTTTTTGTGTCTCTTGCTTCCAGAGTATGTTCAATGTGTCATAAAGGACAGCAACTATTTTTGGAAACTTAGGAACAATCCATTCGTTTGCACGTAGAAGCAGATCCTTGAATGAATACGACGCCATGTTCTCGGAACTACCGGCAGCCAACGGTGACCAAGGGAGAACCATTGCCTCGTTCGAGCCAGGAATGCAGAATATCCCAGACACGAGTGAGAGGCCCTCTTGCAAGGCGGTGTCTTCCGAGTTTAGGCTCTGTATTATCTTACCAGCCTGAACGACTATATCCAAAGGGATAAGAGAGACTTTTGAACGAGCAAACAAGTGTCCTTCGAACGCAATCGCCTTGAAAACATTAGAATACACCACAGAAGCAGACAAAGGTGTACACTTACAAACAGACACAGGAAGTTTTTCACGCGGCCGTCCTCCAGAGACGAAATATTGTAGGGCTCTTCCTCGCCTTCAAAGCGGCCAACGATATCGAACGCTTTTTTCCACTGGAACGCAAGTCTTGTCAAGTACAGTGACTTATGGGGCTTTAACAGTGCATCTAGTTGCTTGACTCTCGTTTCAATCATGCCTCTGCGTGCAAAAACGGTTTCCGCCATAACATAGTGAAAGACCGTTTCGACGCTTCTTTCCTCGACGGTATAACCTAGGTCGTATAAGACCGCAACGTCAATGGCGGAGGCGAGGTCGCCTGTAAGCACACAAATGTTGAAGAGGTCACTATATTTCCTTTTGGAAAGATACAGAACGCGAAGGTGGTCGAACAATTCAAATTCCCGAAAGAACTGTTCTTTGTCCACGTCGGATCCGAGCAAGTCGATTGTCTTCGCACGCAGCTTTGGAGAGATACGTCCTTGCTTCAGAAGAATGTTGCAAAGTCTCGAGTATCTGTGTATGGTGTTTCCTGAGACTTTCGTGCTATTACTGTAGTAAAAGTCAGTCAACTGAACATGCAAGATGCAATAAATCAATTGTCGTACCGGTGAATATATCCGATAAGCTCATCGAAAAGTTCACCACGCCGCAAAACCTCTACAGCTTCTTCGCACTTTCCGACAGTGTCGTAGGAGTGCGAGGCATTTACGAAAAGCCCCGCTTTCTCGTAGAAAATGGCAGCTTTCAGATGCTGACCGTTCTCCTCCCAAAGCCCTAAGATGACGTAAGTACCCGTTCATTAACAACATCCCGAAAGACACATACTGGCGACCCTTTCATATCTCTGGAGACTCTCCAAGCAAGTTGCTGCTTCTCGGAACATACCAATCTCGACAAAGAACCCAATGGCTTTGTCGTAATTGTCGGTGTAGCCATCCCGGTCCCCTGCCGCACGACAGGCCCTTCCTTGCTGCTCATAGAGATAGGCCTGGGACTCTGTAACCCCTTTCCTGTAACTGGCTTTCTTAAAGCAAAAGAGAGCCTTTTCAAGTTAGCGTTTCACTATATAGTCAGGATAAGTAAGCCCTACATCGGCAAAGTTTTTCTGGCGGAGGAGGTGCGCGCCACGCTTAATCCATCTCTCGGGATCAACCGAGCCACCTGCTCTCAAGACCTTGACCTTTTCCGCTACCTGGGAAAAAGTCAGTTTGATGATGATTGTCCGCTTGGAGAGCGCTTACGTCTGAATCATTCTGATTTACTACCTCAACGAATTGCTCACTCTCGTTGGCGCGAAGTGCCTGAACGATCGGGTCTACACTGTTTTCGTTGCTTTCAACAAACCACAGTTGATTCCGGGCTCTGGTGATCGCGACGTAGAGATGTTTCAATTCAGAGCACAGACCCTGTCCACGAGTTAGAAATCATTGCTTTTACCACCAACAGAAGAGGACTAACAATGTGTCGCTGAGAATCAAACTGACTCTTCGCTCCCCGAGCCAGAAGATGAAGACATCGATAGCTGCTTCCAAGGTCGCTTCCACTAAAAAAATCGTAAGCAAGAACATCATCGAACTCCATACCTTTACTCTCCAAGATAGTGAGAACAAGCGCGATTTCTCCAATTTGTTTCTGGAGTCGGTCCTTCGCGACATCATCGCGAACAAGAATCACTTGCTCAGCACCAAAGTCTGCAACTCTGTCATTAAGCTTCACGAGCCCGATCATCTTGGCAGAGAGAATCCTGGAATCAAAACCGGCTGTTTTTATAAGGGTAAGTTATGGTGTCTCCACTGCCTGGGTATGGGAAATTACCAAATATCATTGGTCGCGGACCCCCGACTTGACCTATTTCGGGATCTAATTTGTCAATCGCGTCAGGGAACCCTGAAGAGATTCAGTATTACCAGTCTCGTAGTATTTCTATACCGATCATTACCATTCCACAGCATTTGCATCGTAAAAGAAGCAAAACTCAAGATCCCTTGATGAGAACGATAGTTCTTTGCCAGCGAGAACTGGGTTGGCTTTGCCAATTCCAGTTGGCCTGTTTCAGCGGCGACAGAGTCATAATGCTCGAAGAACATGGCCTTTATCTCGGGGAATCGAAAGAATGAATCCTTAGATATGCATTGCGCAGTATCTCCAGCTAATACACTTAGAAAAAGGGTAATGCCAATTATTTTAGTTCGTTACTCACCAAGGTGAACTCCGCGAGCATCACAAACACAGCCGAGAAGTAGAACTATATCCAAGCACCGCAGATCTTGGACCTCTGGTTGTAGTTAGCATACAGAAAAAAAAAAAAAAAAAAAAAAAAAAAAAAAAAAAAAAAAAAAAAAAAAATCAACAGTCAATAAGAGCATTACCATCGACATAGATCTCCTCGAAACCTTGACGCACCAATTGACCCAAAGCAGGATCGTTCCTGATAGACCGCAGCAGCCCAAGCACCCGGTCTAGTTCATCCATTTCATTCCTCTGCTTTTTCAATTTCTCATAGCGTTCAAATGCTGCATATACCCGCTCACGGTCAGCCTCATCGTTGAATGCCGGAGATGTCTTGGAGCTTCTCGAGAGATATTGCTCACGAGTGAGCCATTCTAGTGATATGGCTGTTGAGCTTGAGCCCTTGATCACACCCACGATTTCTGAGAACAGAAGCTCTGGTGGGCACTGTGAAGGAATTATGCTGGCCAGACACGTCCAGTATTCAACTTTGAAAACGTTGAAGTCGACAGTTCGCGGTCGTTTGGAGACGCTTGATCCTTTGGCAACATGGCCTGGGCTTGTAATATCACTATGAAGAAAATTTTTCCGGTCGACTCTCCTGTACAACTGTTAGTACTATTTTCTTTACAGCAATTGTGAGTCGGGGAACTTGACTGGATGGTATCGTTGAGAAGTTGTAGCAGTCGATCATATGTGCAGACAAACGGGAAGCTCTTATCCTCCAGAGAAAACAACGACAACGGCTCACCAGATCCTTCGTCATCGAGTAGGTCATCTTCACTCATACCGGCTATAGGCTTCCCGTGAGCTTGAGTTTGGATCAAGCTTCTTGCGTAAGTTTGTAATTTCGAAGCCAGATACGGCGAGCGTGTGAGGAGAAGCTGCTCTATTTATTAGAAGGTCATAGGGCTCGTTTCAAAAAAAAAAAAAAAAGAAAAGAAAAAATCCAACTTACCTGTCGGACAGGCGGCCCGTCCGACATTTCTTGGGCCCTATATTTCGCGAGAATCTTGAAAAGAAGACAAGTAGTCTTCCCGGTCCCGCTTCGTCCCAGAATCAGGCTAGAGGTATTGAAATTGGTGATAATTTCATATTCCTCCGGAGATAAATCGAATGGAACCTCTTCGCTGCCAGTAGAATGGACTATAGTTCTTAAGAATGGTTCTGTGAGACTGTAGAACTTGTCTGTGTTGGGCGATTAGCGATACACTTCAAGGACTGTTAAGTGCAGAGACATGATACTTACTTGACATCTCGATCAACTCTTTGTTTGCGGCCTTTGGAGCAGGAGCAGCAGCAGGCTCTGGTTGGGGATATTTCCTGCTATCTTTTATGTTGTCAAATTTCACTGGCAAAAACCTCCCATCCGACTGCTGAATTGGACGCTGGCAGCACATATGAACATAATCTTCGGTATTATGGGCCCGCTGAAGGGAAATAACCTGATTGGTGGCATTTTGTATCTATTTCTTGTGTCAGTATTCTTCCCAACGTGAGTGGAATGGTTTAAACTAACCTCGTCTTCGGAGTCGACGATGTGCCAGACTGTGGGCATCAGATATATATCTTGCCATATGGAAAAGGATACTGTACTAACCCTTGACAACTTGCTTCCTCTCCCAGGGCTGATCCTCGTAGAAGCCAACGTCTATCTGCCACAGGATGGAGAGCTCACGTGTGACAACAGCCTTAAGAAGGGGTATTTGCATTTCATGTCTCTGCTTTTTTGTGCCGACACGGTTCGAGATATCCTTTCCTTTCCACTGGCCGCTAGCAAGCTCCCTGAGTTTACGCTCCACCCTCTCGAAGGACCCTGTACTGCATAAGCAAATTACCATTTTGATTTAAAAAAGGCATTTTCGCACCTGTGCGTGCTAGCTTCCTGGAGCTCTTGAAAGCCCGGTCTGTCAGCAGAACTTTCCAAAATCCGATGCGCTTCCCAAATATATCGTATTTGACACTGCTGCCTTTGGTATTCTCGGAAAGCTTGACATTGTAAACGGGCAGTGATGACTTTCCGGTCACCATTTCCCAGCAGAGCCTGCAAGGATAGGTATCGATGACAGTGCGTAAAATTGACATAGTCTTTCGGCTTTCGAGCTCCTCCTGAAGAGTTTGAACGGCTCGAAGTGACTCGGGCTTCTTGATACCGAGCAATGATAGCTGTTGCAAAGTCGGCTTAGGAATACTGAATTCTCTCTGATTTGACTGGCGTGCTTTATTCGTCTTCTTATCGTCCCTGTTTAGCATTCTCATCCCAGCAAGGAGAGGAAGATCCCGGGTCTTCTGAAGTTGCCTCGTTTCTTCGCTTTCTACGGAATGAGCCAAAGTAGCCAAGGACAGCATCAGAGCTGTGACTATATGCCACTCTTGACAAACTGACTGGATGCCATGGCTACTAGTGCAGTTCTCACACATCCTCACCAGCTTATGTGTGAGCTTATTGACAAGCTTCTTGTCCAGGTGGCTGTTCTTCAGCGAGAACCACTCATTCAGCGCCACAATATAGCGCTCGTGCGAGAGCAGTCGCTCAAGCAGACCATCAACTTCGAGCAGTATCTTCGCAATCTCTCGAATGCATGCCGATGACGCTTTTGTCATGATTGGGAGAGCAGCTCCGACCAAGGGAAAAGCTTGGTCGACCGTAATCAGCGGGTCATCATCCTGGATGAGTGGAAGGATGAGGCCTCGAACAAGTCCTTCTGAGACATTCTGGCTTAATTCTTGTTGTTGAAAAATTTGAAATAGCCTTTGGAGACGCGACAAAGCGCGATCAGTATGTAGCAAGACAGACTCGCGATTGGACCCGTCTTGGAATATGTTCAGTTTCCAGCTGGAAACGCTCGACACCGCGATGATATATTCTAGGTGACTTGGTGGCTTCTCTCGTAAAAGCAACGAAGATAAGTGGAATGCCATATTGGATATTAGTCTTGGAAAAAAAAACGCGTAGGCATTAGCGGCTTCAGTAAATCAACTTGCTGAATCCTGATACTCACTTCCGTGAATTCTGATGACTGGTAGCGACAACTGTGGTCTGAGTTGATGATGCTGGTTGATTCGATGGAACCGTCTTGCTTAATAGCCTTGGCTGATTTGATGGCACCAGCTCACGCACAGTCGGGGTTGTTATCTCCTCTGGATCACAGCAGCCCAGGGACTCCCATAAGCGTGTCGTTTGGGTAGCTGCGAGCTCTAGAAGCCAGGTAGGTAAATTGAACTTAAGTCTGGGACTAGTAGCAGACCTAAGATGACTGAGGATACTGAAATGATCACAAAGGAGATGGGGCGAAGCGAGGAAAGTCCAGGAGAGAGACGCATCGTGGTCATGTGCATGAAAGTGTCAAACAAAAAAGAGAGAAGTGAATAGGCTGGGCATTTTTTTGTTTGCTCAAACACTTGACTATAGTGAATGCAGCACTACTTTGCACATTGCTTTTTCTATTCCAATTCAAGCTTTTGCGTTATGGGGTCCCTTTCTAGGAATTAATCATGCGTATAATACGAGAGTTCCAATTCTTTACAGTATGTGGTGCACCCTTCTACCCAATCTTTGCTATACACCATTAGCTCTTATATGTGAATCGCTCTCCAATTGACAAATTTATGTGTCCCACAAAAAAGGAACTCGCTATGGGATGGCATCAAGCAATGTAAGAATGGACAATCCATTGGTACCTTTATGAGCACGAGCATGCTTGAGCCTCGTAATCCGGCTAATCCTGAGTGTGGTTCTCGAAAAAAGATCGTAGTAATTGTGCCGTAGAGGATTGGCTGCCAGTAAGCATTAGTCGGCATTGCCGTATTTCCTGAAAAAAAGCCCTGAAACTGTCCTCGACACATCCGGAGAATGGTGGAGGTTGTCACTAGGCGCTGACCGCAGTGCCATGACTCCAAGACACTGGGCTATGGACGTCCTCATCGAGGGATAAAAACGGTAGAGGTATGCCAACTCATTGCTTCTCGTGTTTCCTGGTCACAGGAAACTCAACTTTAGCATCTAGCATCCCTCAAAAGATATGACAAGAAGAGAAATCAACTCGTCGTCGATATGCTGGAGAAATTGATAAATTATGATAGTGCTGTGGGCGATGCGAGTCAATGTCCACACAGCAGATGTACCTCGTATGGAGGAGTCGCCTGTATAGTAATAGAGGATGTGCGAGGCCATGCATCCTCTGTTAGATGTAAATCTGGGAAATGATATATCATAGAACAATGGTTGAACAAGCTTTCACTAACCATTGTCCTCAGACTTCATTTCATCATCCAGGGCCACCACTACTCTGATTGTTCTCGCTTTTCACTTTCCAACTGTACTAAGCACCATGGATAATCTGGATCGCCTCCTTAATCGGTCCTCCGTTACATTCAAACGCGAGAAGAAACAACTCAAACCCCCTAGGCCTTGTGTGGCTCCGCAGCCTTGCAGCGAGCCCACGTGGATAGAAAGCAGAGGCATAATTTCGCCCACCGTCTGGTTGGCCGAGTGCCCTAGGAAGGTGCCGGTGGTGTGAAGAAATCTGACGAGACTCCAAAAATATGACAGTCTGAAAACCAAGAACAGATCGACTACTGGGTGTTCTTTCCAGGTTCGATGATACTGATGGCTACGATCATAATACAGAGCGGTTGTTGGAATCCCTGGCTCGGATTGCTGCTGGAGAAGTTTTCTGTGATATGGGTGAAGAGAAAATCAGGTTGACTAGTAGTGATCAACAATACCTCGATGCCGCCAAGTTGAAAGATGTCTAAAGTCACCATACCACGAGGCTTAATCGATACTTGGCTGGATTCGGCGCTCTGATGATGGCCGAACCACCTTTAGTTTATTATTATTATTATTTAATCAAGTTTATTGTCCATACCGAGCCCTAGAGCTATGACAGACCATTATCCGTGGACTTGAGGCCGTTAGCTATCCTACAGTCTCTTATCCATATAAGTTCCTGGGGCACTAGCCCCCTTCCATACTCTTTCTGATCCTTTTCCTCGCCCCAGACCGCCTGTTTGCGCAGGGCTTTCGAGCACTGTGCTCTCCTTGTGTTTCGTGCAGGATGGGTGCGGCCTAGGCTGACTTCAGCTCAGGCTACCCTTCCTGCTATCCTTCTCCTGTTCGAATTGCCTCTTCCAATGATTCCAATCCCCATTCATCATCTTTCTGG